TAGATGGCAGCAAAGCAATACAACTCCAACTCCTTGCTGCCATTCAGTGGTCCTCCCAATTTTTGCATCCCTGTTTGGGTATCTACTTTTTATGTACAAATTCTCCCTTTGTTTTGGAGTACTGCTCCTCTCCCAAACGGAACATTACCTATGCACTTCATTCTCACTTCTCTCTCCAGATTTCCATTGTCTGGAATATGAAAAAGGGTCTATGAGGCTCTTTGGAGAAGGAAACCCAACCCAAACCTGAAGTAGCTGCCACTTCCTCTGCCACTTCTGCGACTCCATTCTTGTTGCTATTCTTCTCTACCAGGAGACAGGTGTGTTCCTCCAGATTGCTGCTGTCACCTTACCTTCACTGAAGCCATTTGATGGAGGATTATTGGAGAATGTTTCCTGGACTCCCAGTGGCCAGATAAGAAGGAAGAAGCTTAAATCTTCATCCTATGGCTTCCATTTGGTGGCATCCTGGACCAGAGAATAATGGTTCAATATGGTTCCAAATCTTTCCTGGTATTAGCTGTCTGAACTCTACTTCTGTTTAAAGCCTGCATGATTCCATTTCCTCATTTAATTTTGTTCTCTTAAGCTTTGCTGTGTCACTTTTCCTGCTCTTCTCTAATGTTCAAGGTAACATAATATTTGGCTTGATGGTAATTATAGATTTTTCAAGAAGTGATACAGATATGAAATAAATGTAGTCCATTGACCTTCTAAGCCTAAGGTCTTTAAATGAAGCTATTATCATTGCAATAAAAGTATGGTTTCAGAACGGAGTAGAGCACCAATTTTCCAGTATTGATGAAATATATAGTAATTGAAAAAAGTTTCTGCTGTCCATTTTGCTTAGATCCAAAAATCGGAATATTGATTTCCCCAATTTCATTGCACATCCAGATTTAGGCTAATCCTATACCCCTCTTGGAGACGTCCAAATAAAGCTCTGTGTGATGCCATTCTTAATAAATAAATCAACATAGGCATAACATATGATTGAATTTATTCTCTGTCCAGTTAATATGTTGCTAATGTGGGTGGTTCACTACTGGGAAATACAACGATGGATATTAACACTGAACCACCATTTCAACAATAAAAAGCTTCATGGAACCTTTTTCACAAGGAAGGCCTGAGGAAGGAGTGAGTTAATAGATTCATAGAATTCAAAAGGTGTACTTTTATTGATGGCCCCAAAGGAATTCTTCCTGGCTTGTAACAATGGTTACCTCTACATCTGATTGTTCTGGAGTCTCCTTTCATAAATAGGGACTTCAGCTGGCAGGAGGGCAGGGTGCTGGATCAAAGCAATGGGATAAATGTAGGGAAAGAGTGCTCACCACCACCGCCCCTCGCCAGCAGTGCCCTTGTAACTCCTCTGCTATGGCTGGATTTGCAACTATTACTCTACATGCTGCTATGACAGTGGTGGCGAACCTATGGCACGGGTGCCAGAAGCGGCACTCAGAGCCCTCTCTGTGGGCACACCCGCCGTTGCCCCAGTCCTAGGCCTTCAGCTGGGTTTTATAAAACCTTTTCGCTTTAGGCCTCCGCCCCCCCCCCTGCAAAAAAAAAAAAGGTTCAATCAATCAGTCAATTTCAACTTCTCGCAGGGAAAAAAAAGATCTTGCAAAGTTGGAATTGATTGATTGAACTTTTTAGTCCCACCCAGTCTGCCGTTATCACCACAGCCACGCCCAGCCAATGGGCCACACCCAGCCAATGGGCCACACCCACCCGACACCCGATGATGCATAAGTGGGTTTTGGGTTGCAGTTTGGGCACTCAGACTCTAAAAGGTTGGCCATCACTGTGCTATGAGATCGAAGCTCCCCCCCCCATTCTTCACCCTTCCGGATTAGCCTCCCCATTCCTCTATGACAGTGTTTCTCAACCTTGACAATTTTAAGGCATGTGGGACTTCAACTCCCAGAATTCCACAGCCAGCAATGCTGGCTGTGGAATTCTGGGAGTTGAAGTCCACATGCCTTAAAATTGTCAAGTTGAGAAACACTGCTCTATGAACTTAAAAGAGAATTGAGATCGCTGAGCTAGGCTGCCCCCACCCCACCCTCCACCCCCGCCCTCTGGCTGTCCGGCGTTCTCGGGAATCTCCCTGCTGCTATCACAGGCCGGAAAAAGCTCCTGCGTTTGCTCTGGTCTCGGCCGTCCCATGTAAACAGCCGCCGCTTCTGGAAAGAGAAGAAAAAGAGAGTAACTGCGAGGACCGGAGCGGGAAGGACAGAGGTCCACAATGCGGCTGGTTTCTTCACAAGCCTTTAACTGTTCGCAGATGGAGCCAAACCAAATCTGAACAGCTGGAGATCGGATAGGGCAGGGGTAGTCAACCTTGGCTCTTTTATGACTCGTGGACTTCAACTCCCAGAATTCCTGAGCCAGCTTAGCTGGCTCAGGAATTCTGGGAGTTGAAGTCCACGAGTCATAAAAGAGCCAAGGTTGACTACCCCTGGGATAGGGACACAAAGTCTTCTTTACAGGGGGGCAAAATAATCCCCCAGGCTACTAAGTCCATTTCTGTGTGCACGGGCACGTTAAAAAATGTAACGCGTGTCATATCTATACTTGGGCGCCTCTGCGCTGTTACAAACCAGGGCAGGGGGGGGACAATCTTAGCTCTTCCTCAAGCGGACAGCTGGGGGGGGGGCTCTTGATTAAAAGCTTTGGTCAAAGCTTTGATATTTACTGTAATATTTACTGTAATATTGGTTTTATAAGGCTGTCAGCCGCCCTGAGTCCGGTAAGGAGAAGGGCGGGATACAAATCAAATTAAATAAATAAAAAATCTCAACGCGGCAAACGCATCGATCCGCTCCGGCGTTCCTCTTCCCACGCCCGCCTGCCTGCCTTTCCACAGGATCGATGCGATCAAGCAGTTACAAGTCGAAAAACCTCAAGATGCCCGCTCTCCTCGCGGCACCGTTGACGGGTGAGGCGGGGAGGCTATCCAGAGGCCCGGCGAGCGAGGGGCTTGGCTTCTTCCTGGGGATCCGTATGGAGGAGCCGTGGGAGAGGCCTCGGCCCTTTAATCCCTTCAAAGACCCCGGCGCGATTCAAGCCTTTTACAACTCTTTGGAACCCTCCGCGGGGCCGAGGCTTGTTTGGATAGGAAGGCCGGATAAAGATATCGCCCTCCTCCCTCCCTCCCTCCTCTCCCTTTCTCTTTCGCGGTCGGACGGCCCCTTAAAAGGTTTCAGTGGCAACGCGGAAACAATGGAGCGCGGCCACCGCGGGGCGGCTCAGGTTACCCGGGGAAAGTAAGAGACATGTCATCTAGCGGCGGGGAGGAGCAAAAGGCCGCCTCCCGCCTGGGCCCGACCCCGCCCCTTCCTCTTTCCCGAGATGCCCCTTGCCGTACGAAGCTCCTCTTCGGCACGCGTCTCAACTTCAGCGCGGTCCCCCAAAGAAGCGGCGGGTGGTTCGTCAGGCCGGGCGCAGAGAGCGTCTCCCTTCTCTTGGGCGCAGCCGCTCAGGCAAGCGGCGCGCTTTGGGGCCAAAACAGCCTACAGCCGCGCCCCAGCCGTTAGCCTGGCCGCTGTTTTCAAGTAAGCGCCCCCACTAAAGAAGTACCAAATCGCCTGGAATCGGGACAGTTCAACAACAGCCGCTCTCGGGTCACTCTGGAGACGACTGCGGAAAACGGAAAGCGCGTAAAGGCTGGGACGGAGCAGCCGCCTTTTGATTTGCCAATAAAAGAGAACGCCGCTCCGCTTCTGAAGCAAACAATCGAGAAGTTAAACTACTACTAGATCCTCCGAAGAAGGAAATGGTTTTGAGACGGGGGTGGGGGGAGGGGAAGTGTTGGCAGCCCAACTCGCCATCTGAGGGGGACTTGAAGGAATCGCGGGTCTCGCCGCGGCAGCCTCTTTTGAGCGTCACCCACTTTACTTAAATAGTAAATAGTCTTTGAATAGATTTCATTTCGGAGTGTAAAGTTCACGAATCGCATTTCTAATACTTTCTTGGGCAGCTTTCTTGCTCCGTAAAAATCAGAGAACTTGAGGTCTTTATCGCCAGAAAACGTTGGACGTCGCTATCTAAAGGGGTCACGTTCAAAGTATTAAATAAATTGCACGACTGTTATATTTTTGTTAATAAAAGCAAAACAAAAAAACAACTAATGGAACCAAGATCAAATACGCCTTTCCTTTTGTTATTTACAGGGGACACATCACATATATTCTCTGGCTAGACAAAAGTACATAGCCACTCAATGCAAACTTTAATATTGGGACCGGGAGTCCCCCCCCCCGGCGAACTTTTGGCGAGTTTATTTAAAAAATGAAGCAAATAGAGTTACTAAGTGCCATCCAAACAGATGGTTCTAGAGGCAAATATCCGTGAGATACACCAAAAGACGTATTGTCTAAAGACTCCGAGGCAAATTTTTAATCGCGATATAGGTATTTCTTAAGGAGAAGTGGGAGCGCAAGAAAAAAGCAAGTGGTTTGGGCAAGATACAATGTCTTGAACGTCGAGTGAGTCTCCAGGCGGTGAGAGTCCCTTTGATCAAGAAAATCCAATTATTTGTGTATATACATTTCCCACATAGTGATTACTTCATTAATTGTCCCGCCTTTATCTCCTCCCTTCCCATCCCCCCCTAATAATCAGTTCTTTTATCCAGACCAACAAACACACCATAGGAGCTTTGTGGATTCAAAGGATTTGCTTTCGCTTCTGAAAGAGCCGCTATTCTTTGATGATTGGGCAGCGGCAAACTTCAAAGCCATAAATCTTCCTCCTGACTGGCTGGCGGCCCAGCAAAGTCCTTATCAAATTCTTGGAGGTGATCCTGGCGCAGTCAGACAGTCCGCGGAGATCGCGCTGAGCCTGGGCTGGCTGGCGAGACTGGCAGAGTCGGCGAGGGGGGGAGAACTCAGGGGCGGAGGGCAAGGAAACGGGGCAGCTTTTCGGCTGCCTCTTGGCGACTTTATGTCGCGGCGGTGGCCCTCTGGCCTCTTCTCCCTCCGGACGCGATAGCCATGGCCGCGGTGGCCGTCCTGCGAAGCGACTCCCTGCAGGCGTTTCTTCAGGTTAGTCTCTAGTTGAAGATGGAGGGTAGAGTACCGGGGAGCCTACTCCCCCCCGCCCCCGCGACGGTAGTGGAATTTCAGGCGACAAGATTGGCGGGAGACCACAAAGCGGGAAGGTGGCGAGCTGGTGGGTGTTTAGGGAAGGGGGCCAGCTCACTTGGGACCCTCGGAAAAGTTGATTGCGCGTGTAAAATAGACTTTTGAGTAAATCCCCTGATCCCTGGGCTTTTTTTTTTTTTTTTTTTTAAAGTCCACTTTTGAGAGAGAAAAAAGTTTTCCCCTTTCTGCTCTCATTGAAGGATTCCCTACAATCAACTGCATCTAAACCCCGCCCTCCCCTTCCAAAGCTATTGTCCTGAACTCAACGGTCTAAGTCGTCGGAAGTAGTCCAGAGTGAGGGGAAGGAGGTAGATGGGCGTGAGGGTCCCTTCCAGCGGGGTTCGCTGAGAGGTTTCCAAGTTCGCACCCAACCGAAGTGGGCGGGATGGGATCGAGGCAGCACCGCGGGCTGCTGACGCCGGGCATCCCAGTTGCGGCTCATTGTCTTCTGAGAAACGCCCCGCCCAGGTGCTGGGCTCAGCCACTGGTACTTAGTGCCTGGCAGTAAACTTTTTGAGATGCTGCCTGGTATCCATCGACGGGCGCCTGCTGCTAGGTGAAGAGGAAGAAGCCCCAAGGAACAGAGATTAACTGTGCCTCTCTTTCCCCACCTTTTGCCACAGGATCGGACCCCCAGCGCCTCTCCCGACTTGACCAAGCACTCACCTCTGGCTCTCCTGGCCGCCACCTGTAGCCGAATCGGGCAGCCGAGCGCGCCGGTCGCTCCCTCGGATTTCCTGCAGGTCTCCTACGAGTCAAGCTTGGGCTCCCCGTCCAGGATCTTTCACCCGTGGAGCAGCGAGATGCCAGCCCACTCCCCGGGCGGACTGCCTCCCCCGCCGCCGAGCCTCGGGCTCACCCCGCAGCCGGCTTTCGCGGGCGGCCACGAGCTGCCGCTGACGCCCCCCGCAGATCCCTCGTACCCCTACGAATTTTCGCCCGTCAAGATGCTCCCGGCTTCCATGGGCGCCCTCTCCTCCAGCTGCCCTCCGCCGGCTTACGTGCCCTACGCCGCCCAGGCGGCCCTCCCGCCGGGCTACTCCAACCTGATGCCCCCGCCGCCCGCCCCGCAGTCCTGCCGGCAGCTCTCGCCGGCGGCCGAGGACATCCCTTGGTGGAGCATCCAACAGGCGGCGCCAGGCCCGGGCACTTGCGCACATCGCTTCGCGGCCGCCGGGGGCCTGCCGCGCGGGCTGGTGTTGGCGCCCTCGGAGCTGGCGCAGTACCAGTCGCAGCTGGCCGCCCTGCTGCACCCCAAAGCGCCCCTGGCGGCCACGGCCAGGAGGTGCCGCCGCTGCCGGTGCCCCAACTGCCAGCTAGCAGCAGGCACCGGGCCCGACGCCACCGCCGAGCCCGGGAAAAAGAAGCAGCACGTGTGCCACGTCCCCGGCTGCGGGAAGGTCTACGGCAAGACGTCGCACCTCAAGGCGCACCTGCGCTGGCACACGGGCGACCGGCCCTTCGTGTGCAACTGGCTCTTCTGCGGCAAGAGCTTCACGCGCTCCGACGAACTCCAGCGGCACCTGCGGACTCACACCGGCGAGAAGCGCTTCGGCTGCGCCGAGTGCGGCAAGCGCTTCATGCGCAGCGACCACCTGGCCAAGCACGTCAAAACGCACCAGAACAAGAGGCTCAAGGCCGGCCTGGGCCTCGGCCTGGCGGGGGGCGACGGCCGCGCTTGCGCAATCAAGCGAGAGGAGTCGCGGGACTTGTGACCTGTTGCTTGGTGTTTTTTGCGCTTTTGCGCTTCTCTGTTTCCTCATCTGCGCCCTCTTGCAGGTTTCGGAGCGGGCCGCTTTCTCCTGCCGTGAAAAATTCCACTTCGGCCCCCTACAGAATCTGGACATTTCGGGAAAAACCGGGAGAGCTCTTTATTTGGAGACCATTAAAGGGGAGCTAGGAGGACACACACGCACCCGGAAAATTCCCAAAGTCTGGCATCTTAGAGGCTTGCGGTAGTTAGACCGATTTCCTTTGAGAAGCAATTGGAAAAATCCTTGGTCAGGAGACCCAAGGGATTGATAGTTTTCCTTGGATTCGGATCTTCACCCTCTGGAACTAACGTGCCCCATAGTACTTGTTTGTGTGCTTTGAAGTGCAACCCATGAAACCCATCTGCGGATTTGGAACTGCTCTGTGGATCTGAGATTAGCCTTCTGTGAAGAGGTTTTGTTTTTCCTTTGGATCTCCCGCAACCCCCTACAGTACACACACTTTTTTGAACTCCAGATTAAAGCTATCCTAGGATCTCATCTTCCATCCAACCTCCTCCAAAGGATTATGGCTTCATTGTCAGATGCCTGTGGCCAAAAGATTGTGGTCCCACCTTCCACCACATTTGGAAACATCTGGCCATAATGGACCAGAATGCTTTTTTTTAAAAAAAGGAAAAAAAAGAAATAGAAACAGCAACATTAGCCTGGTTATTGAGTGTCTCAGTATACTTTTTTGCCTTGTGTTTAGGGGGAGAGATCAACCCTGTGTATACAGTTTATTTAAAGCTTTGGGTAAAATCATTCCTCTTCCCCCCCCCCCTTATTTTTATACTTGACTCCCTTATGGGGACTACACCATGAGAAGTTTGAAGTGACCCACAGTGTGTCAGCATACTAAAATAAATGCACCAACCCTGGGGTCATATTGGGAAGATCACACTGAGCTGATTTCGTCTGATTGTTTATTTCTTTTGAAACTTTTTAAACATATACCACTAAGCCATTTTAAGTGTTTGTTTCACTTCAACAAATGCCCCGTTTATTTGGAAAGCACCTTAGTATGTGCTCCAACCTGCAGCTCATATTAACTCAGCATTGTAAAGATCACCTATATTTTCCTTGTGGAATATATTATAATGGTATAAAATGTGTGAGTTTTTATTGCTTTATCTATTATTTTTTAAAACAATGGTTGATCAGAGTTGTAACATTCAAACATTACAAGGAAACAATAATGTATATATACTGTTTGCACCCCAGTGGAAAACTGCAAAGTACAAGGAGCTTGATCCAAAAAGGGAAACAGAAATCAACTACTGTATAATTATATTGAAGAATTTATGTTTAGCGGTGTTAAAATCAGCAAGACTTATTTCTGTGTAATAAGAACCACCACACCAAAGTTAAAGTACTTTTTTGTTTAATTTCCATTGTCTTCATTGGGCTTAGGAGTGCTTAACCTGCAACATCATGCTTAAGGTCGAAATGGCACCATACAGTATGACTTGTTACTAGAAGAAATATATGGCAGTATAATGCTGTAGGAGTATGGTTTGTCAGAGTCTTTTGCCATTTTTGTTCAGTCTTCTGCACTGCTAAAATTGTTTCACATTGAAATTGTTTCCCCATCTTTAAATGGACAAGATGAAAATCAAGAAAATCAAGTTTGAAGTTTCTTTTTAATTTCCAGATGTCAGAATAAGGATGCAGTTTTGTACCATATGTGCATAACTTGGGAGTGAGATCTACTAAGTGCTCCTAACACACATAGAAAATATCCAACTTTTTCTGAGCCACAGATTTTATTTCTGTATTATATAAACATTTATCAAAGCAATGACAGCCCCTAAGTGTTCATCTTGTAAAGCCTGCAAACTATCAGATCTCAGCCTTGTAAATTTGTAATATAAATATAATACAAAAGGAAAATTCCATATTCTTTGAAAAATAATTTGTCAACTACATCTTAAAATAAAGATTTTGTTACAAACTAACATGTATTCTCATTTAAAGTACAAAAACATCCAGCTGGAGCTTACTGAATAAAGTTCGTGTTCCCAGTTTTGTAAATACCAACATCACAGTGAACTGTTCTAGGACTCTGGTACTAGTGAAAATATCCATCTGAAATAGAATTTAGTTTAGTTGCATATGCAGTTTTATTATTTTTTAATGTAAGCATTTGGTAAATTGTATAAACATCAAGATGAATTTGTTTTCAAGGTACTGCATTGGGTTAAGCAATTTAAAAAAGAAAACTGCCAAAACTGATCTGTATAATTGTTCTTTAGAACATCTTGCAATTCAATTTTATACGTGCTTGCTTACAGGTAAATTGTTATTGTATTTTCAGTGAAGCTTATTCTTATGAATTGCAGTCCTAAAGAGATAACATACAGTAGTAGCTGCTATTTTTTAAATATTTCTGATTTTTTACAGTATACAATAATGGTTATCCTTTTTCAATCTAATAAGAAAATAGGTTGATTGTATTTTTATACGAAAAACATATTTTTTAAATATATAAAGAATATAATCCTTTTAATATATTATGAACAGGATACTTGTTTAGGTTCATCTTTTATGAGATACATCTTCATTGTTTAAATAAGCATCCTATATTTTCCTAAACTCTGAAGTCTTCCGTCAGTATTAGCTAGCATGCTCATGCAACTTGATTATGGTCATTTCTGGAGAAAAGTATATTCTGCAAAGCAGTGATACAGAATAAGTCTCTTTGCACATAGGATTTGCTTCTGAGAAGACACTGGTTTGCACTATATTTATCCTATGTAACTGGGTAAGACCATATGACACATAGAAATCAATTAAAATCAACTATGTCAAACTGATTAGATTGAGATTGCTTTAAAGCGAACACTTCAGTTTTATATTTAAATGAATGAATGTAACTATCTGTATAAGATATTTAAATCAGCGGTTTCTAACCTATCCGGGTTGGCGGCCTGGCACTGGAGGGGGGGAAGAGGGGATGGTTTCATGCGAGTTCTGCTGAGAGCGCAAATACCCGCTGCTCCTATGACTGGGGCTGCATGTACGAGTGCCGGCTGCTCGCACAAGTGGAACTGTGTGCGCAAGCGGGCTCACTCATCTCTTGTGCAACACAATTCCAAATGGACTGTGGCCCGGTAGTGGGCCACAGCCCTGGGGTTGGAGACCCCTGATTTAAATTACATAATATAAATTCCCCAACGTTGACAAAGTCTCTGTACTCAGAAAGTCAGTCATTCTGGGCCAATTGTAATTGTCGAACAGCATGTCTATATATTTCAGATTGTCTTAAGTTGGATCTGGGTGAATTCATTTTGCATTTTGTTATAGCATTCTCTAGCAGCTTGCTTTCATAATAAGGAAATATTTTAGATTATTTATTTGATAAATTGATTATAATTCGTGTGTTTATTTATTGTACATATATGCCTCTTCCTCCTGTGATGTTAGATAGCTCACAGTAAAACAAAAACAGATATGGCATTGTACATTAAAATATGTTCAAATAGTAACATCATGTTGCCTTTGAACTAAATATAGCAAACTGGCTTGCTTCAGTTATATTGTATTGTATTTATACTCCAAAGTCCTGTTGGAAATGATCTTAACTACTTTCAACATGATAATAGCAAATCACCCATCCTAATCTCAACTAATTTAATTTTCCCCTTCACATGCCATGATGTGATTATAATGGATCCAGAGTCCAGAACTTGGTTATACATTCTCTAAAGCTGCAGATCTATATCCTAAATTTAATGGTGACTAAGTCTCATCAAATTTGATGCATTAATTAGGTAACATTAACATAAAATATGTCAGCTGGGCAATTTATGAAGAATCTGAATCCAGTCTGCAGTGTCCACACTAATCTTCCCTCTCTTTGCTTATGGGCAATGGCTTTTCCTAGTTTGGTGTCCTCCCACTGGATCTGAGTGACTGCTGCTAGAATTTCCAATCAACCTGGCCAATCATTGGGAATTCTGGAAGCCACATCCGGAGGCCATTGAGTTGGGGAAATACACTGTACACTATGAAAGCACTAACACAGGGAGTTAATAATCATTTCAGAGATGATGTGAAGAAGACCTCACATTTTCAGGATTTCATCACATTCTTAGGATATTCCAATTTTTGCCAAACACACAATAGTTGTGAATACTTTTATTTCAGTAACAGTATTGATCTACAAAAGTACAGTATAGCTAGGATATAGCCAACCAGTGTTTTTTACTAAACTGAACTTGTCACATATTTTTAAGATAAGAATAACCACATGTATATTTGCTGCTGATTTTGATTCATTGATACCCAACTTATGGTAGTTTTACTCCAAACTGAGCCAACAAAATTAAATGTACATCCAATTGGCAATACTGCTGATTCCAGGGGAACAGTTGCAATACTTCCTGCTCAATCCAATGCTCCTTCTCAGAAATAAGGTGCCTTATTTCTTTAGGGAAATCAGGCCTAGAAGTTTCTTCTTTTCTAAACGTACACCAAAAAAAGTATTTATAGGGGAAATAGGTGGTTCCTGCATATTTAATCTTTGATCATTGTTTTATAATTTCTTTTATTTGGGAAGACAGCACTAGCAAGCTAAGTCATATTCTGAAATGTTTGACAGACTTGGTGCTTGTGATGTAAGTTGAAGGAGGCACTGTAATGATATAAAGATATAAAGATAACGTATTTCCATTGTGTGCTAGGGGTTCATTTTTTATGTATTACATCATAGGGGAATTGAGCTTTTTTTAAAAGTTATTTTATGGAGTGATGTTAGTGTGTTTATATTCTCCCTCTTGAGGGTTTAGTTGTAATTCATCTGTCATTTTGTCAAAGCTCTGTTTCCATTCATCTCTTGAAATGTTCTGTGCTGCATATTTTGTATTTTTACAGTCAGCCCAGCATATTCTTCTGAGTAAAATTGCTGCAAGCAGGCAATTGCTTTCAGATTTCCATCAGTGATTATTATATCAGTGATGGAAATCTTGGTTTAAAATATTTCTTTGCTTAAGAACAAAAAAATGGATTTCATATGTTGTATTTCCTACACTGGGTTGCATTGTTAGCAATATCTATGCATAGATGCATATATTTTGAACTGGAAAGCTTCCTGTGAATAAGCAAATTAATACATGTTGCAAACCCTTCTAGATTAAATTAGTCTAAGATGTTACAGAAGCGGTTAAATATTATACATATACAGTGGGTATAATCCAGCCATGATCAATTGTACATAGGTTTAAAGATTTTGACTTGCTCTATTGATTTGAATAGGAATTAATTAGGCTGTTTTCTTCAATGAATATTCTTTTCTGAATTACTAACTTTGGGATGTCATGTGGTTTTAAAAAACTACTTCTGTTTGGAGCAAGAAACTTTCCATTTTTTTCTTCCCAGTATGCCTATAGTCCAGGGGTAGGCAACCTTGGCTCTTTTATGACTTGTGGGCTTTTATGACATGCTGGCTCAGGAATTCTGGGAGTTGAAGCCCACAAGTCATAAAAGAGCCAAGGTTGCCTACACCTGGCCTATACCCATCATCCAAGCTGCTTCAGAATGATTTGGAGTTTATTCAAGGAAAGGATATATTACTGGATGAACACCAGGTTCCTGTTTGAAGTATGGCCTCAGTGTTTCCTGATTATATTAGTTTGTAATAGTATGAAATGACTCTCAGTAATAATTTCCTTGCATGAGATCAGATAGCAAGAAAGTGTAGAGAAGTATTCTGTAGCCATTCCATGCACATCATTTCACCATCAACATGCTGATATAGTAATGCACACAGTTTTTATATCTGTTTTTGAGTAATGTAAGATGCTGTAGGTCTCTAAGTGATAAAATTGCTTTGTTGACTGTTATTGAATTCTCCCATGAAAACATCCCAAATCCTATAATATTTTTGAAAACACTGAAAAAAGTTGCCTGTAAGGAATAAGGCTTAAGTTGTTTCTTTGTTTCACAATTGATTCAAATAGATGTTATCATCTACTTAGTATAGTACCTAAATTTGAATAAATGAAACCTCAAATAGCTCGCAGGGTCATCAAAATCATATAAACATAGAATGCTATAAACATGGATTTGTTGGGAGATTACACGCTTTTCAAGCATCCTGCAGTAAAAGGAGATAGAAAAGGAGAAAAAAGCAGGGTTCAATCCAAGATCAGGAAACTGGCTTTGGAGAAAAATCCAACTTGTTTTGGCCTAATCACTTATGAAGCAAAAAGGAGGCCTGAAATAAAGTCTTCCAAGGCACAGTATGTGATCAATGTTGTGAGGTATAGTCTGGCTTTCAGTGGCTGCATTCACAATCTTCATTTTATTAAGAATAAAATAAATACAAGTACTCCTTGACTTACAACCACAAATGAGCCTAAAATTTCCATTGGTAAGCAAGACAGTTGTTAATGGAGCTTTGCCCCATTTTCTTGCCAGAATTGTTAAGTGAATCATAGTAGTTGTTAAGTTAGTAATCCAGTTGTTAAGTGAATCCGGTTTCCCCATTGACTTTGCTCATTAGAAGGTAGCAAAAGGTGATCACATGACTCCAGGACACTGCAAATACATGGCAGTTGCCAAGTGTCTGATCACATGACTATGGGATGCTACAATGGTCCTAAGTGTGAAAAATGGTAATAGGTTGCTTTTTTCATTAAACAAATGACTGTAACTTGAGGACAACCTGTATCTTGAATAAACAATTGCTGGATTCCCACAGGGGACTATAACACCTGATTTGCCTGGTTAAAGCATCAGCCTAGAAACCAGGAGACCATGAAGTTTAGTCCCACCTTAGGCACAAAGCCAGCTGGGTGATCTTGGCAGTCACTCTGTCTTAGCCCTTGTAAGCAGACAAGGCAAAGCCTGGGAAAAACTTCCCAAGAAAATTGTCAGGACTTGTCTGGGCAATCTCCAAGAATCAATCACGGTTGAATGGAAAGAAAAGAAAAGTTTAGTCTACTGAACAAGCCCAGTCATTTGTAGTTCATCGCTCGCATCATAACATACTTAGGGTTGCCAGGTGTCCACTATTTGAGTGGACAGTCCACTTTTTTCACATTATGTTCACTATTTTTTTTCACAAAATAGTGGACATTTTTTTATTCAAAAGCTTTATGATGAAATGGTACGTAATCTAAAGCTGTACAGTCTACTTTTTTTACTACTTAACNGCTATTTTTTGGAAGCAGACCTGGCAACCCTAAACATACTATGACTGGAGGATGGGGAATGGAAGGATCATCTGGTCACCTGCATTCTTTTAGAGAGTCGTTGAGGCCACTTGGAGGTTTACCTGTGTCTTCACCTGAATAATGCAAATGTGTGGCTGCAGGATATTTTTTGCCCTGTGTACCTTCACTGTTGAAGACAGGCACAGGCTGTTGGGAATGAGTCTGTGTTGTCTGCATCTCAAATATAAATCCTTCTATTCCCCACCATCCAATCAGAGCTGAAGAAGCTTCTTGGATGAGAAGCGAAACGTCTTCAAAGAAAAACAAGAAAGTCCAGTTGCCTCCTGAGAAAGCACCTTTGGGAGCCCAATCAAAGTGTTTTGCGTGTTACTTTCATACAGAACCCGGGCTGATAGCTGTTCCAGCCAAATTTAATTTATTTAAAAACCGCTCTAAGAGTTAATTTCCAGATAACAATTGGGCTCTACATTTTCTCGTCTCCACGAAAACTTTTTACATTCCCGGCTCCTTCCGAGTCTTCTCCGAGTGCGCGCGCCCTGCGAGGCTTCACCAGCCCCGCGCGCGGCACGCCACGGAGGCGGGAACGTTTCCGTCCCAGCTCAAAGTTCCCCGTCGGCCTCCTTTTGCGGTAGGCTCGGAGAGGGCCCCAGAGTATGTTGTTGCTATGGCAACTGGGTGGCTGCCCGTCCCCGTAGAGACGCTTTCGGTATTATGCAGGGAGCAACTCCGGAGTTCAGCGTCTTATCTCGCGGGCAACCGAGTCACGCCATGAATAGGTAGCTCTAAGATACTTTTCCGAAGAAGGTCAAGGAATACGTGTGAATGAGGCCCTAACCCTCCTTCCCTTCTTTTCCCATCCAGATTAAATGTTCTTGTGGGGCAAGGAATGCCTAGGCCAGGGGCTTCTAAGGTAGGAACCTCGATCTTTTTTTTTTCTATCTTTAGCATATTTGACCTTTCAACTTATGGCCCGCAACAAAAACTCTGGACATCCACAATGCTTAATATGGAAAAAGGCCATACAGCATCTGTTGATCCTTACTCCGAAAAGCATGTAGGTATGTCTAAAGTTTGCAAAACTCTCAGAATCCCACAAGTACAATCTCTCTAGCTAAGCCAAGTGGGGAAAGCCTTCATCTGTCTTCAGTTAATTTTCTCTCTGTCTTCCAATAACCAAAGAAACAATATCCTCAAATTATTAAACAAACTCAGTTAATTTTCTCTCTGTCTTCCAATAACCAAAGAAACAATATCCTCAAATTATTAAACAAACCCACAAGTTGGTGTCCTAGAGAAAATTGGTTTATAAACCTGGTTTATTAATGGGGTTAGATTAAGGGGGATGGTGTTTGAGGAGCTGCATTTTTCACAGGGAAGATTAGGAACCATATTTGATAGTGTCTGTAAAACTTACATATAGAGCTGTTAATAAAAATCAATAAAAAAGTGAGGATGATAGAACAAGCAATAGTATCAAAGCCGTGTGTGTTTCAGTATGTGAGACTGAGAAACAGAAATAGGAATTAATTAAAACTTTTTATCTTTTTACCACTGTGTACGCTTTACGATCAATATGTTGGAAGTGTTAAAAGTTTTAATTGCCTTTCAGTGTATGTTTAGAGACAGCATGGAGATATTCTTTTAATGTAAAATCACAGGTATAAAGCAGTCCTCCTGCAGTCCTCAAGGCAGCAATACCAAGCACAGATGCACTGGTTTTCTTTTCTTAAACAATTTATATCATTTTATGGTAGAATAGTTCTTATTCCTTCCCAGTACATGCAAGAACGGCTGGGGGAGGAGGCACATGAGTGTTGTCAAGTATTGGTCAGATCTACAAAGCATTCAGATTACTTTATTCTCATTTGAACTCAAGCCAGACCTGCTAAATGCAGTTTACTGGTTTAAATGAATTTCAGATTATGAATACAGTGATTTGCAGAAGTTCTGGTGTTCTGCAGAGATAGCAGTTGCACGTATGATACATAATTATACACAAAATTATATTTATGTAAATTTGATTATCTGGTCCCAAGAGATGAAGGTTACAACTAGTCTATAGATAATTGATATAACAATTATACAGAGAAGGTCATATAATAACTATTAATGGGAATGTTTCAACTTTGAATGCAAGATTGGAGGGTGACTTGCTGAAGAATATCCAACACATTCGAGTATTGTGATAGTAGGTTGATTCTAGAATGATCTTTTCTTACCCTTTAATTCTGGAGATCCTGTAGTCACTAAAATGATTTCTTTTCTATAGCAGTTTAGTTGACACATTTTGTGTCATAATAATTAAGGCTAGATTAAAGCTGCATAATTTATATTTACAAACTACAAATCAGCAATGCTGTATCCAAAAATAAGTTAGAGTAAATTGAGTATACTTCCTTACATCTTAGTTACCTGGTTTAGTAAGCTTTTTACAATATTTGCAAAAGCAATTATTGTTTAGGGACTTTCTATTGGCCCTACCTAAAGTTTACAACAGCACAATAAAGCAATGTCAATCCCAGTCTTCCCCTTTGATTACATTAGCCTCATTGCAGTTTAGGATACAAACAATAATACACCCTCATTTTACTATACTTAGTTCATTTGAATTAAATTACCAAAAATCTAGCCTCTACGTGTGCTTTGTGGTTTATGAAAATTGAAAAAACAACATATATCTCACGGACATATAGTGTAAAAGAAGGTAGATGGAAGAGAGACTTTACAGGCTTGCAAAGAGTAAGAGGGTTTTTTGTTTTTTGCAAAAGTTGGTCTTATTATAATATACTTTTTAAATGTGTATGTGTATATTTAATGCCAGGTGCTTATAATGATTACTGTGAATAGGAATATTAAGTAATATTTTGAATGCATGTAAGATGACTGGTTTTTACATATATGTATTTTATTAATAATGAAGCATTAAAAGAAAAGTATATTTAATCAAAGTAAATATATTCCATATTAATGGAACAATATAGCATCAAGAAAAAAGTTGTAGTAGAACGAGATGATAGTCATGGAAGAAAGAAATGGTAGTAGTAATGGAGAAGGACTCTGTATCCCCTCTTTCAAATATTGTCAGACATTGTAGCAACAATCCACTGGTACAGACCAGGTTTCCTAAATTATACCCATATGAAACTTGTTTTCAGAAATGACTTCTTAGAAATATTTGGATTTTTCTTTTACACTTATTCAGGTTTCTGGAATGATGGAAGTGATCGCTCCTGAAGGTATTTATTTAAAATTATATTTTGCATCGTAATATTTTCTTGGATGTCCTTACATTTTAGTATTTATGTCAAAAATATAAATGCTTAAATTCAATCCCATTCTGAAGAATATATAGGTTGAACTAAGTCATTCTTACTTCTGAGTAAGCTTGCATAAGATTGTACTATAAGAAAAATTATTGACAGATGTGCAACTTTGTTAACCTGTAAATTGTAAAGTTGACGTTTTTGTCTCTGTGTAGTAGTGCTGTTCAGAGCAAACATGTGGAAAGCAAATGTTTAATTCTCTTCCTCCTCCTTCTCTTAGACAAGAGCCTCACATCCTGTGTTGTGGCTTAAATCACAGAGACCTCCTAAATTTCTCCATCTAAAAATGGAATTTAGCCAATATTTTATATGCAGTTTCCCAACTTTTATCTACCAGGATGATGTTAGATGTTTCATAATAGAAATTGTGAGAAAGAATTAGACTTTTTTTGGTTTCTAAAGTAGATACGATATGAATATATTGCTTAAAGTCCACCAGGCAAGAAATTAAGAAAAAAAATTGGGATTAGGATATTGGGCATATGCATGCTGCCTTATACAGTACTGTATATCAACACCACATTTCAGAAAAGATGGAATGACCTTTTGACTACCGTATAGCAGATGTTTATTTCCAAAAATGAAGGACAACCATAATTATTTGCTTGTTTCTTTTTTCTAGCAATGTGTGTCTCAAACTTTCTGCACTCACGGATCACTAAACAAACATTTCTCACCAACATCATATATTTGTTACTTGTATACTTCAGTATATCAGTTGTCAGCCATGACTTTTGTGAACCAGTTGACTGGTATCGAATGCAGGGAAGTTGGGGCTGAGGCAGGACTTGGCTTGGCTCTGGCTACCTGACCTTCAGTGAATGTGGGGAAGTGGGCACTCAGAGGGCAGCAGACTCTGGCCAGCTGATTAGCAGGGAAGGTAGAGAGCAGGGCTGTTATAGAGAAAGACTCTCCAGGGGTGTCAAACTGCCGGCCCGTGGGTCGGTTTCATCATACCGAAGCCGTGCCCACCCCATTGCCGGCAATGCAAAAAGTCATGATATGTCGTGACACGTCACATGACGTGGCAAGTTTGACACCCGTGCTCTAGTCTGACCAGTCAGCCAGTAATGAATGCAGTGAGGCAGATATTGAGGCACAGAATGGTTGCGGTCTGATGGGGCACAAACCCAGTGGCTGGCAGAAGTATAAACAGACTCTGGCCAGTGAACATTGGGAGGCTGTGACAGAGTATCTGGTGGGCCCCCATCAGCCAAACTGTGGTCCATAGACAATAGTTTAGAAATCACTATAGCTTTAGGAGATTCCTGGTACAACTAAATAGAATTTCCATACACAATTAGACTTAATGAGCATGCTTGGAGATGCCATTGTATTATGTAAGACTATAATTTGTAACAAATATGACTCAAGCATCAACCCCATTTCCCCCCCCTCCTTTTTCTGGATTTTTAGTCATGTTGCCTGAACTCAAAAGCTTACATACTGTAAGAAAGGTTTTGCCTTGATATGGATTGCTTTTCCTAATAGCATGTCTGATTTTTTTTTTCTTTTTACAAAGTCTCTTTAAGGACTCAGAGTTTTTCTTTACCATATCCAAGAGATGCTAGGCACTGGATCTGAGATCTTCTTTCTGCATACAGAGCAGGTTGTGCTCCATCAGGGCCACTGCACAAAAGTCAAGATGGTGATAGTAATAGTGTGATTGAGGACTTTTTTGATCCCATAAGTCATTGTATTAGGATATTGAGAGGACAATTTTTTTTCTAATTAAAATGATGGTATTGGTGATAACTGTATTTTCTGAATATCTATTGCATTCAGTACAAGTGAGAAACCATTACCTTGGTTGATAAAAGCCCATTTTGTTAACTTTTTGTATAAATATATATATATTCTCAACGTTTATCAGGAATGTATGTGTATGTGTGTGTATTTAGGCTCTAAATATTTATACAGTATCTATTAATATACATTGAAATTGGAAAAATATACAATATGATTTTATAAAGAAACTATTTTATATAGTTTATATAAATGTATATAAATATTTAGACTCTTTTGATTTACAAGGGCAGAGAAGTTTTTAAAAAAAGATTTTTTCTTGCACACTCTTCCAGAACGTGCTCCAGTTTGTTGTTTATTGCTAAAGAGTTTACACTTAGAGGTTACTATAAAGCAGATAAAAGTAGCTTCTGAAGAAAAGTATAGCAAAGGAGAGAACTCATGATATACATTCTCCTGACCTAAAGCCCATTTCTGGCATACTGATTGTCCTCACTACTACTTGTTCCAGTTTTTTTCACTTATTCCTCAACACTGCTAAAAGGCACTGAGCATGGTTCTTTGTCAGATGTGTTTCTTTTTATTTGTAATTTTTCTTTAACTTTATCAGTTCAGTATAGCTAAAACTATATCTGAGATGCAAAAATCCAAATAACCTTTAGATTGGTGCAGAGAAAAAGAAAAATCTAATTGTTTGTGATCATCCTAATTTTTATACTCCTGATCTGGTCCCTCTAGCATACCTGCCTGCTCCCCAAATATTTACAAGTCATCACCTTTATTTTGTATGAATCGTATCCACTTATATTTATTACTTACATGATTACTATTTTTTCAAATTTTATTTTATATGTGTCTTGAAAACTTTATCAGTCTTTTATTGTGTGTTATTGACCTTTATACGCTAAAGCAGGTGAGGTTTGAAGGCATTGATTGAATATACATAATATTTTTCTTTCTTTTTTTAAGATGGGTTTATCTTAGAAACTCGTTTGCCTTTGTCAAGGTAAGGAAGAAAGAAAATTTTGCTCTGGGGGAGTTTAACCATTTTGAAAATGGAAGATCTTTTGCTCTCCTCAGGTTTCTCTTCCTGATAAAATACTAATAATTTTTAACTAATAATCCTTATTTGGAATTAAATTTGACCAAATAAATGGGGCTTAAATGGAAGAATAGCTGCAGACTAAGAACCTAACTGTACCTTGCACACAGATGATGCAACAGCCTCTTCTCACTTCCTTCCACAAAACTCTTCAAAAGAAAATGCAGCTTTGGTAAAGAAACTGGAGGAAGTGCTTCATCACCTCCCCCTTTCTATTTTCATTTGATTACTCTGTCCCAAAGCTGTTTTTCTTAAAAATTAAGGAAGCAAAAAGTATCTGTTTTACTTATAGGAAACGTTTACAGTTAGAACAATGGCTTATAAGGCCACTCAAAATATTGTAAACAGTGTGCAGGTTTCTGAGTTGTCTGGAAATTTCTTCTCATCCTGGAGAAAGGAGGAGCGGGTTGAAATTAGTTACTGGCAATTTTATGGACACTCTGTAAAATTGGAAATGAAACTAGTACAGTACTACACGTTCAAATTTAACTGAGTAGACGCTACAATAATTTTAGAATGCATATAAAATTATCCATTTGACACTTAGAATGATGTGTAATTTTTGAAAGTATATACTCTGGGAGTTACTATAATCTTTCTCCATTCATATGTGAAAAATAGGTCCTGGGGTATTTAAGAGAGGATGTGGGGGAATAGGGGCTTGTTACGTTGCTAATATAATAATATAAATATAACAGGGAACGGAGTATGCCCTGCAAGTAAATGTTGGGATAATAGCCAGCAGGGGTAGATAATGATTGAATGCTACAACCTACTGGTAGATATTACAAAGAAAACAGACTGCTGTTTGGCCTCCCTATTTTTTTTAGACGGGAGTCTAACTAAGGGAATCAATGTGATTGGAAAGGTGGACCTTCCAAATTAAATGTTCACATGCCAAGTCAATTATTGGGGAAACATCTGTTCTCTAGGAGTTTATCCTGAGGAAAGCACTGCTTTGTCATTACAAAGATCTGACCAAAAGAAAAAGAGGGAGTTAATTTTTCCCAGCTCTGCCTGGCAGACTGCTTTGGATGTAGCAGGATGGACGGACGGACAGACAGTAGATCCATAGTCTATAGGAGTTTGGTTTTCTGATCAGAAGCCCTGTCTAACTCTCGTCCATTTTGATTGATAAAATCTCTCATGTCCCAGATAGTTATGGAAGATTTTTAGTGCTTTCCTGAAGGTAGGAAGTGTTCCTGCCTGTTTAAAAGAAGTTGTGATAAGAACTTTTTTTTTTAAAAAAAGTCCTCCCTTAAGCCAGGAGATCTCTGTAATATAGGCCAGTCTCAAATATTATATATCTGAGTAAGGTTGAATGAAAATGTTTCTGATTGAAAAAGTTTCTTTTCAGTACCAGATGATTTTAATTATATTGATTAGACAAGACAATTTGAGTGTCAGCTGACATATGATATTTGGTCATATGTCAGCTGAAACATTCGGTCTTGATGGATGATAGTTTATTGGATATTTTGGTAGTCTAACCATTGTATCCCTCTGGGTGATCTGGTGGGCTTGGACCTAGAGCTAGGAACAGTTCTTTGCAGAATACTGTGTTTGCAATGATTCTGGTCCTATTCTTTGGACATGTCCAGAAGATAGTTCTGGGAGATTACTATGCAGTACTACGGCTACTGACTGATGACCCCCCAACTCTTTAAAATGTACCTAAAACCACAAGTCATTTGGAGCGTTAGAAGTATGCTGATAACACCCAGGTCCACTGATTCCTCCTAACTAATTCCAAAGAAGCAATCAGTACACTAATGCCTAATTTAAATAATGACCCGGATAAGGGAGAATCTCTTATGAATCTCTGCTGTTGCTAGATTCAGAGGTGGTGACTGCAGCAAGGAATGTATTTGCATAATTGCAGCCAGTATGCCATCCATTCCTTCCTGATTTTTTTCATGCTTAACGTTTCTTCCCTTGACTACATTCTGTCTTGCCTACTATAGCGTATTTTATGCGGAGCCATTCTTGAAAAATGTCTTTTGAAATTGATGCAAAATGCTGTGGCTAGGTCCAAGGTTTAGGGGTCACAAGAGGATGGTATTAAACTGTCTGTATTAGCTTCTACTAGCCTAGAGTGAAAATGTAAGTATTGGTTATGATCTTTAAAGCCATAAACAGGTTAGGTCCTTTTACCTGGCATGAATTAACTGAGTCCGGAATGAACAAGGAAGAGGGTTTGAAATGTTCCCATCGGTAAATTGGTGGGAATGGGGATGGCAGTTAAGACGTGAGAGATTGTCACAGCAACCAGAGACACTATTCTGCAGATTAACTCAGTTAAACTAGGCTTTGTTTCTAAAGTGGGGCTATAAGGGCAAGAGACAGCTGTTGCTTTTGCTGTTGTTGCCATGCCACCCCTTCCTCCTATAGAGCAGCATCCCTGCCCAATCTGTTTGACCTCATTGCTGGGTTAGTGGTGGAGATCCCCAGACTTGTGCTAAGTGGCTTCAACTCATCTTGGGAAAGGAATCAGGAAGTTGGGAATTCATCAAAGGTCAGACATAAGAGGCTGGTCAGACATTAGAACTGCTTTCCATAAATAGATGGAATGGAGAGATGCAGTGTGACACCATAATCTTAAGGTAGAGCTTTCATGGAAAGGGCAAAAAGGATGTGCTGAGATGATGGTCTGGTAGTGAAAATAGGAGAGCCACCAAACAATTTTGGGCTGGGAACCTGTAATCATTTTACTAACTAAACTGTACCTGGTAATTTTCAGAGGAAGATTAAACCAGAGAGCATTCCTGTTCTTGCAGGAGCAGTCTGATATCTTAGCAGAGCTCCAGGCTGATTACTAATGTGTATGCTGTCACTTAGCAGTGATTGAAATTGTGATTAAGTAGTAGGTAGATATTTTTTTGGGTGCTTACATACTGTGTTATGGTTTCTTTTTGTGTCAGGAATATTGTCAGGAATTATGTATCTGCTTGCATAAGGATTGCTGGCAATGCTTCTTCTGAATGATATAGCACCTGTACTGAAGATCACTGAAACACCTTCCATTTGTATATTATTATATTGTACCTTTGAGTCAGTCTTGACTCCTGGGGATTGCCTGGGCAAGTTGCTGCAGTTTTCTTTGCCTGATAGAGAGTGGCAGGCACCCATATGGTTTTGTGTCTAGCATGGGACTAGAACTCACAATCTCCGGGTTTCTACCCTGGTGCCTTAACCATTACCCCAAAATTGGATTTGTAAATATACACTAAGCCATAATATGTTTTGGCATGCTGTGTTCTATGAACCTAACTTTTGTGATTTATAAACTGTGGTTTATTGGAAGATGAATTGCATGAACTATCAGTTATGATTTAAAAAAAATGCTTAAGAAAACTATATTGTAGCATGATAATGTGAACCACTTCAAGATTTAGTGGTCCCCGGAAAACTAGAGAGCTGTTGTGGGGTGCAAGTTTATTTTGAAGCATTACTTGCTTTTTCCTATCCTATTTTGCATATACTTATTACATAAATTATTTTATCTTATATTAGGCATAATGGTTTAGGAAGGACAGATGCAATGAAGGTAAAAATATTTATCTGGATTTTGCTATAAGTTTATCTTTAAAAGGAATGTGTATGCTGGTATTTAACAGCTTTAATAAGAAACATCAGTTTTAATCCGTTGAGTATACATAACTGTAATCAAGAGTCACATTCTATACTGTGTTGTCATCTTTTTTTTTTAAGTGGTGAAGAATTTAAAGTGAAGAATTTAAAGATCATGGTGAAGAATTTAAAGACCAAGTAAAATAGCCATTCTTACCTTGTCTGTATTGCAGGGACAAAAGAATAAGCATAGTGGAAGATTGCATGTGTTTGGTCCAGAAGGTAAATAGTTCATGATATCATAACTGAATGCCATGGGGCCATGTCCCCAGTAACATTTTAAAAATCATGCGCCATTTTTCCCCCTTGGCCTCTGGACATGCCCTCATCAGGTATCCAGCTCTTGAATGAATCGGGTTTAAGTCATTGTTAAGTATACTGGATTAGGCTTCTTCTGCTTAATCCTATTATAGCTTCAAGGTGTAAAAGACTGTAATACTTTGTCACAGTCATCTTTGTAGACAGTCAACTGACTTGTTATCAGCGTGGACAGAGGGAGTGTTAAAAGGAGTGTGCGCACTTCCTCACTGCCTTCAAAACACTAGTCAGTCATTTCTGTCCAGGTGTTTGCTCTCTCCATAAGGGCATTGTTTCTTAAGTTTGTTTTGTACCTATCACCTCCCCACCCCCTCTTGATTATTGATACCAAATACTGTCCAGACTTGAGAGGAGAACGCCGCTATTTTATTCAGAAAAAAAGAAAAGGATATTTGGGCTGTTTTACTTTAAAGATTTGTAAAATGTATTTTTCCCTTTAAATGCAACAGTCCCATTTTCTCCATTTTTCCTCATTGCAGTGTTCAGACCTGGGTTTTTATAGGTTTGTGTGTGTGCGTGTGTGTGTGCAAGTTTCCCTCTATTTGTCAGTTTCAATTAGTTTTTCACTTTTTCCATGAAGTAAAAAGGGGGATTGCTCAGAAATTGCTCTGTTTTAATTATCCTTCTGTATAGGGCCTAGTTAACTGCACTATGTCGACGTCTTTGCTTTCCTAGAGCTTCTTCTGCCCTGTAGATTTCTTTATTTCACATTCAGAAAAAATGGGGAGATGCCCAAATGGAAGCTGCAGAGAGCAAATAAACCAGCCCAGAGAAGCCCACATGGAGTTCTGAAATCAACTTTCCAATAGTACTGCATAACCCTGACAGGTGGATGTAATTCCTGTTGGTTGAAAATGGAAGAACTAAAGAGAAAATCAACTGAATGGCTTTAGCGTAGGTGTCCTGCTGACCTGTCAGGGCAATACCATTGAGCACAGACTTGGAACAGAAACAACAGAGACAGGATAGGGATTGGGAATAAGGACAGTGCATTTTATGCCAATATTATTTTGCTCTGATGCAAAGATGGGAAGATTTTTAATGCAATTTTTTTAAAAAGCCCTTAATTCTGTGGACATCTGATCTCATATATGATTGAGAAATACAGCAAAGCTGTATTTACAGGTAGTGCTTGCTTTGCAACCATTTGTTTAGTGACTGTTTGAAGTTACAACAGCCCTGAAAAAAAAAGCGACTTATGAGCATTTTTCACACATATGACTGTTGCGGCGTCCTCACAGTCGCATGGTTTACATTCGGACGCTTGACAGCTGTCATGCATTTATGACAGTTGCCGTGTCCTGGGGTCATATAATCACCTTTTGCAACCCTTCTGACGAGCAAAATCAATGGGGAAGCCAGATTCGCTGAACAACTGTGCTATTAACAATTGCAGTGATTTACTTAACAACGGTGGCAAAAAAGATCATAAAATGGGGCAAAACTCACTTAATAACTGTCTTAGCATCGGAAATTTTGGACTCACTTAATGGTCATAAGTCTAGAGCAGGGGTAGGCAACCTTGGCTCTTGACTCGTGGACTTCAACTCCCAGAATTCCTGAGCCAGCCATGCTGGCTCAGGAATTCTGGGAGTTGAAGTCCACGAGTCATAAAAGAGCCAAGGTTGCCTACCCCTGGTCTAGAACTACCCTTATTTCATTTGTATGCTGCCCAGTCCCAAAGGCTTTAGTCAGTCAATAACCTCATCATAAAATAAATAATACTACGAAATGAAAAATGAACTCTGATGTATAGGTTCAACATCAAAATGAAAAATTAAGAATCAGAAAATACTAAAACTGTGTTCCTAGACACCATCTTCCATCATAGTAGACCCTTCTTCTGTACTAGATATAATAAATAGGCCTTGATACTTTTCAGAAAGTCCAGACACAATGGAGTTCAGTATCTCTCTGCAGGGAGGGAGCTCCTGAGTATAGAAGGAGCTATCAAAAAAGCTAATTTCTAAAGCCTTGAATAATTTCGGTCAAACTGGATAGACAGATGGATATTGGAGAGGTCAGCCCCTTCTGATAACCAGATCTGGAGCCATACACTACATTAAAGGTGGCAACTGTCAGGCTCAAAAACTAAGGAGGATACATGGCGATTCTTTCTCGCTGAGTTCTTTGTTGTTCCATGACTATAGACAAAATCTTGCCAAACTGAAACACTCTACTATCTGTATTTACCATTTACCGTTGATTATTTACCAAAATGTATTTACATTTTGAGAAACTATTAGGGAAAGGCTGTCTGCACCCTCTTTCTCTCACACATTATATCTGGACTGACCTGCCTCTTATTCCTCTGGAACAGGGCTTTTCAACTATTTCACCCATTGTACCACTTTTAGGATATGGCAATATCCGAGTACCACCCGTTGCCTAGCAAGGTGTCAAAAACTTGATGACCAAAAAAAATGTCACTGAAAAAAGTGCCCCTCAAGCCACAGCCAAGCAAGATACTTGCCTGCCCACCTGGTGGCGCTCTTCCTCCTGTCCGAGGTTTTCATTGTTGTGAGCATTTCTGTTGAGGATTGGCAGCGGGGGTGGGGGGGTGTTTGGTTTTTATTCCCCCCGTTTGCTGGGTGGTTGCAGCAGGTTTTTGTCACTTCACATGACCCTGCGACACTGTGACCGTCATAAATATGAATCAGTTGCCAAGCATCTGAATGTAAATCACAAGACCCTGGAGATGCTGCAACATTCCAGCTGATCGGCGCTTCTTCTGGGCTCAGCAGAAGCACCAGGATCAGTGTTGCTTTCCAGCTGATTGGTGCTTCTTCAGGGCTCAGCAGAAGCACCAGGATCAACGCCGAGCTCCAGCTGGAGCCTGGTGCTGATCCTGGCGCTTCCACTGAGCCCTGACAGTCCCGAAGAAGTGCCAATCAGCTGGAAAGCGGCACTGATCCTGGCGCTTCCGCTGAGCCCTGATAGCCCTGCCGCTCCAGCCGTCTCTCACTCAGGCTTGTGCGGTGCTGCCACCAGTTCAGCTCATTCCCCTCCCCCGCTACCACTTTTCTAGGATGGTCGCGTACCACCTGCAAGGTGCCAATGTACCACAGGTGGTACCCGTACCACTGGTTACACCCATTATTGCCTAGGCCAGCACATTCTGTACCAGCTGTAGCTTCCAAATCTTTTTCAAGGGCAGCCCACATACAGCATGTTACAATGATCCAACCAGGAGGTGAGTAGATCTTGACTGAGAACAAAGCCTTCGGATTCAGAAATGGTTGCTTCTTGACCACAGCTGCCACTTCCTTATTGAAGCAAAGCTGTAATCTAGGAGGATGACAAAATTGCAAGCCACTTCTGAATGGGACAGCACAGTGCTTTTCAGAGTCAGAGTCAACAACAATAACAACAATAATAATAAAGTTGGAAGGGACCTTGGAGGTCATCTAGTCCAACCCCCTGCTCAGGCAGGAAACCCTATACCATTTCGGACAAATGGCTGTCCAGTTTCTTCTTAAAAACTTCCAGTGTTGGTGCATTCACCGCTTCTGGAGGCAGGTTGTTCCACTGGTTAATTGTTCTAACTGTCAGGAAGTTTCTCCTCAGTTCTAGGTTGCTTCTCTCTTTGGTTAGTTTCCACCCGTTGCTTCTTGTCCTGCCTTCAGGCGCTTTGGAGAATAGCTTGACTCCCTCTTCTTTGTGGCAGCCCCTGAGATATTGGAATACTGCTATCATGTCCCCCCTCGTCCTTCTCTTCATTAAACTAGACATAACCAATTCCAGCAACTGTTCCTTATATGTTTTAGCCTCCAGTCCTCTAATCATCTTAAAGAGAAATTTTAAAAGAGAAATAGGAAGATGTTAGATGTTAAAGAGAAGTAGGAAGAGGAGAGAACCGTGAGGGATTCCATATTTAGATGTCTTTGAGCAGAATCGTCCTTTCTCCCCTCTGCTTGACTGGACCTGCCCCTTCAGGAAGGAAGAGAGACCTTGCAAAACTGTGCTTCCCTCCTCAGGGCCTTGGAAATGATCTAAGGAGATACCCTGATTTGATAATACCAAAAGCTGTTGCAAAGCCTTTCCGTGGGTCATCCAAAATGGACCAGTTGAGTTTTTCTGCTATATTTTGGTCTTGTTTGCAATGGTTTCATTGCTGGGGTTGCATGGCCACCCACTCTCTCTGCAACATTTCCTAGCAAGGAATAGTTGGCAGCAGATGTAAAGTTATCCAAAATACTCAGATCAAATGAAAGTTCTTGAAGAGGGGGCGCACGACAGCTGCTTTTAGAGGCCACAAAAAAAAACCTCACTCAAAAGAAGTTAAGGAAAGCCTAGCAAATATATGTTATATTTATTGCAGACATTGTTATCATTCTGTGATTTCTATTTTAAGAGAAGAATTATGAATAATACATTGACCCTGCCTCAAATGAATTACGATTTTCTCTTTATGTTTTTAGAGGAAGTAGTTATTGAACCCGTTCAAACAGTCCCACGGTAAGGAATCCCATTATGCGGCTGGTATAGTTCTTGTATTTTTAAAATCATACCTTGTTAATAGATTGGTACCAATGCCATAATTTTTTATAGGTATGCATATAGTTTAGAAATAAATCTTATTCTTCCAAGTAAATACAAATGGGATTGAAATCACAATTGGAAGAACTAATACTGATTCACAGTTGGTGTATATTATATAGGTAAAATAACATACTAGAATTTCCCGGCAAGATTCCTGTGAATCCCAGGGTGCTTACAGATGCTGCCCTTATTGCCTGCCAAGGCGCCATCCTCTTCTCCTTTTCAAATATTTAAATTGTTTTAGTTTTAAACAAAAAAGAAGCAAGCAGGGTACAAAGCAAAGTACCCTTAGAATAACATGCATTGACAAGAATACATTCGGAGTGAATATAGAGCCCAAAGAAGTTCGTAGGCAATAAAAAGCCCTTTAGATCTAGCTTTATAGATTATGACCACTCTGCTGAGAAAAAAACAACAACAACGTTAAGGATAAACTGGGGGTTAGGAGTCTGTACTCTCTGGGGTGTCTAGTGGGTGATTGGTGATTGGACAAAGGCCCCCATAGCAACCATTTTCTTTTGCTATATATGATATGTTTCCAAAATTTCAAAGCTCCACCTATTAGCTCAAAAAGTTTGGGAGCACTTAATTAGTTTAATACAGGTTTGTCGAAAGCATGTATCTGTGCTGATTTCAAATATTCATAGAATATATATTTGGTTCCAGTGACTGGATAACTTTCCACATCAATCTTGGGTCCAGTGCAGNTCAGCTCATTCCCCTCCCCCGCTACCACTTTTCTAGGATGGTCGCGTACCACCTGCAAGGTGCCAATGTACCACAGGTGGTACCCGTACCACTGGTTACACCCATTATTGCCTAGGCCAGCACATTCTGTACCAGCTGTAGCTTCCAAATCTTTTTCAAGGGCAGCCCACATACAGCATGTTACAATGATCCAACCAGGGGGTGAGTAGATCTTGACTGAGAACAAAGCCTTCGGATTCAGAAATGGTTGCTTCTTGACCACAGCTGCCACTTCCTTATTGAAGCAAAGCTGTAATCTAGGAGGATGACAAAATTGCAAGCCACTTCTGAATGGGACAGCACAGTGCTTTTCAGAGTCAGAGTCAACAACAACAACAACAATAATAATAAAGTTGGAAGGGACCTTGGAGGTCATCTAGTCCAACTCCCTGCTCAAGCAAGAAACCCTATACCATTTCAGACAAATGGCTGTCCAATCTCTTCTTAAACACTTCCAGTGTTGGAGCATTCACCGCTTCTGGAGGCAGGTTGTTCCACTGGTTAACTGTTCTAACTGTCAGGAAGTTTCTCCTTAGTTCTAGGTTGCTTCTCTCCTTGATTAGTTTCCACCCGTTGCTTCTTGTCCTGCCTCCAGGCGCTTTGGAGAATAGCTTGACTCCCTCTTCTTTGTAGCAGCCCCTGAGATATTGGAACACTGCTATCATTCCCCCCTCGTCCTTCTCTTCATTAAACTAGACATACCCAATTCCAGCAACCGTTCCTTATATGTTTTAGCCTCCAGTCCCCTAATCATCTTAAAGAGAAATTTTAAAAGAGAAATAGGAAGATGTTAGATGTTAAAGAGAAGTAGGAAGAGGAGAGAACCGTGAGGGATTCCATATTTAGATGTCTTTGAGCAGAATCGTCCTTTCTCCCCTCTGCTTGACTGGACCTGCCCCTTCAGGAAGGAAGAGAGACCTTGCAAAACTGTGCTTCCCTCCTCAGGGCCTTGGAAATGGTCTAAGGCAGTGTTTCTCAACCTTGACAATTTTAAGGCATGTGGACTTCAACTCCCAGAATTCCACAGCCAGCATTGCTGGCTGTGGAATTCTGGGAGTTGAAGTCCACATGCCTTAAAATTGTCAAGGTTGAGAAACACTGGTCTAAGGAGAGACCCTGATTTGATAATACCAAAAGCTGTTGCATGGCCTTTCCCTGGGTCATCCAAAATGGACCAGTTGAGTTTTTCTGCTATATTTTGGTCTTGTTTGCAATGGTTTCAAATAAGCTGTTTCCTTTCATTGCTGGAGTTGCATGGCCACCCACTCTTTCTGCAACATTTCCTAGCAAGGAACAGTTGGCAGCAGATGTAAAGTTATCCAAAATAGTCAGATCAAATGAAAGTTCTTGAAGAGGGGGCGCACGACAGCTGCTTTTAGAGGCCACAGGAAAAAAAACCTCACTCAAAAGAAGTTAAGGAAAGCCTAGCAAATATATGTTACATTTATTGCAGACATTGTTATTATTCTGTGATTTCTATTTTAAGAGAAGAATTATGAATAATACATTGACCCTGCCTCAAATGAATTACGATTTTCTGTTTATGTTTTTAGAGGAAGTAGTTATTGAACCCGTTCAAACAGTCCCACGGTAAGGAATCCCATTATGCGGCTGGTATAGTTCTTGTATTTTTAAAATCATACCTTGTTAATAGATAGATTGGTACCAATGCCATAATTTTTTATAGGTACCCATATAGTTTAGAAATAAATCTTATTCTTCCAAGTAAATACAAATGGGATTGAAATCACAATTAAAAGAACTAATACTGATTCACAGTTGGTGTATATCATATAGGTAAAATACATACTAGAATTTCCCGGCAAGATTCCTGTGAATCCCAGGGTGCTTACAGATGCTGCCCTTATTGCCTGCCAAGGCGCCATCCTCTTCTCCTTTTCAAATATTTAAATTGTTTTAGTTTTAAACAAAAAGGAAGCAAGCAGGGTACAAAGCAAAGTACCCTTAGAATAACATGCATTGACAAGAATACATTCGGAGTGAATATAGAGCCCAAAGAAGTTCGTAGGCAATAAAAAGCCCTTTAGATCTAGCTTTATAGATTATGACCACTCTGCTGAGAAAAAAACAACAACAACGTTAAGGATAAACTGGGGGTTAGGAGTCTGTACTCTCTGGGGTGTCTAGTGGGTGATTGGTGATTGGACAAAGGCCCCCATAGCAGCCATTTTCTTTTGCTATATATGATATGTTTCCAAAATTTCAAAGCTCCACCTATTAGCTCAAAAAGTTTGGGAGCACTTAATTAGTTTAATACAGGTTTGTCGAAAGCATGTATCTGTGCTGATTTCAAATATTCATAGAATATATATTTGGTTCCAGTGACTGGATAACTTTCCACATCAATCTTGGGTCCAGTGCAGAAGTATTGTAAATGTAAATAAAGTGTAAAAATGAGGACGGGGCTATTCAATTGCATTTAGTTTATTCTTGATAAAATAAAGAATCCAAGCTCCACTTGGTTCTCACCACTACCACCAAAACATCCACTGGCTTTGATTTTGATGAAAATATTCATAATCTGACCGCCCACTCCTGTTCTATTAATTTCCCTAAGTGCTATCGTATCTACACTTCACCTATGTATAATGGTTTGTTATCACTATGCCTAGATTATAATCCCGGAGCAGTTAAACATTCTAGGGTTTGGTTTGATTGGGTTTGGTTTGATTGGATCTCTCACCACTATTCTTAGAACCTGTGCTAAAATTTTCTTTGCACTTTTTATTTATAAGGGCAAAATTAAGCATTCAGAGTAAATAATGTAGAGCTTTTCTCATTTTCCCTTCCACGATTGTGGCTAAGACACTGAAGTTCAGTTTTCCTGGGGTGGAATATTTGAATTCTTGTGGCCTATTATTCCCAGTATCGCTTCATTTTCCCCCACCCCCCTCTTTTAAAAACTTACAATAGCAGAAAGACATACCAGGCTGCCAAAGGTAACGGAATAGCGGCATCACACAGTTGAACTTGCTGGAGTCAAACAAGGGCCAGCATCGCACACTCTTTGCTTCCTTTTTATCTACAAGGAATAAAAGGCTGTTCTGTCAGAAGATTGTCTGAGAGCTTCCTTTCACTTGCCAAGATCACTTATTTGTGATATTTCTATAAGCTGGCACCTTCCACAGAAGTGGTGCGAGGAGGGCAGAATCCTTGCACCGTCTCAGGGCAAGCCCTGTTTTTGTACACGTGTTGTGATGTCACCTGCGCCTATGTCCAGGGTGGCGCTTGCAGTGCAGTGCAGTTTTTGCCCATTTGGCAAAGCGGCAAGGTCCTGTGGATGCCCGTTCCTGTAAACTTGCTTATGCAATTGTAGTCACGGCTTGTTTGTAGAGTTATAGCAGCGCTTCCCAAACCTGGGTAAATTAACTTAATAAATGCAGTGATCCACTTAATAACTGTGGCAAGGAAAGTGATAAAATGGGGCAAAATTCACTTAACAACATTCTCAGTTAGCAACAGAAACGTTGGGTTCAGTTGTTGTAAATCGTGGACTACCTGTAATGCATTCTTGTCTACTTTGAGCAGGTTGACCTGTGGGATAACTTCACGTCCCGTCCTAGCTTTCTGATGCTAATGTGATTTTTTTTCTAGCTTTCAAAAGTACAATTCCCCACTGAGGATAATTAGTGTCTATAGCAGCATATTTGTTTTGCAGTGCATATGTTTTGTTCAGCAGAAGTAAATCCCATTTGACCTCAAGCAAATATATTACACGGTGGTGGTACTCTTGATAATTAAACACATCAAAATGTGGTCCTGAGCATTTCCTCTGCGTGATACATAACACAAGAGAGAGTGTGCTGATGTGGGGGGTCTACACTGCTTGTGTTGGAAATAATAAGTTTTAGTAGGCTCTACATCACACAGGTGTATCCATTAGAGCTAACAGCTACAATCATTCAGTTCCTTGAACCTATGAGATATAATTCATTGTATGGATTTTTTAAAACTCCACTAAATTAAATTTAAAAATCATAATTTTCAGCTATTGGTATGAAAAAAAATGAAAATGGAATGCTCTGTTTGTATGTCCGAGTGTATGTTTCATAGACACAAAAGAAGCTTTTAAATGGATCAAAATACGATTGAATCATTTTTTATTCCCCCCCCCAAATATATGTATATTATATATTCAGTGTATTTCTGACTTTCCAATGCACTGCGTAAGATAAAATAAAAGTTTATGATTAAAATGTTAAAATCAATCAAAAGCACATCAATAAAATGAAGAAGCTAAAAGTAGATATACTTTCAGTTAAAATTCATTTCAGTAAAACTGAAATGTTAAAATTCAAAGGTTTCTCTGAGTATGAACATCTTCATCTTCTGAGAAAGGGTATTAAAATGAGAATGGACTCCTTTGATGGGAGTTTCAGAGTCTGAGAACTACTTTAGATAATCCCAGAAATGTTTTCTATATAGTACTAGATTATTTCTAATTTAAATACATACTAAACTATCCATAAACTATTATGAATAAATGATGTAAACATTGTAAAAACTTACTACAGTGAAAACTTACAGTTGAAAACTTTGAATAATAACTAAATTGTAGTTCAGAATTATTTGAGAAAGATTATGTTTAAAATTGGGGAAGTATTTTACAATGAATATGATATTAATGTATTTATTCATGTTAGAATACCAGGGCTATAAAATAAGACATTTAACAATATTCCAGAAAAAGGTGGGGTAGCAAACCATTTCGGTACTGTTTCCAAGAAAACTGTGTAGATATGTTTGTGCAGTTATCAAGAGTTGAACTTGACTCAATAATATCTTTGTTGGTCACTCTGTAAACTAAGGTATTTAAATTTAAGAGACAAACTTACATTAATTGAATTATTGAAATAATATATTCATTCTCTGTAGAGATATAAGGTTGGTTATTATTTTAGAAAATGTATTAATTACTCCACAGTTCACCAATTATTTTACGGTATGTCCGTATTCTGCTTGCCTTATCGTTGTGCCAAAATCAACCTTTGATCCTAACCTTGAAAAGATGGAATACAACAAAGCAAAAATAAAAAGTGACAGCAACTGTTTAAAATTATATTTTAGTAGAATCATTATTCTGATGTTTAACATTTTTTGCAGTGATCTTTTTTTAAAATGTTTAACCAAGGTAGCATGGGATGTGGAAATGAATCTACAAGCAGATCTTACACTCCGTCAAAGCAGATCTTGTTATGTACAGCTAAATCATTAGAAAAGTAAGTCTCACTTCAGTTGAGTTGTTAATTAATTCTATTATGAGAACTGCTGACATCAAGCTTTTTAAATAGTTAACTGTTGTTCAGCTACACAACTTTGTAGATCTTGACAAGTTTTTATAGTCAGCTCTTCAGACATTGTAGAATATTTATTTTATTTTATGCATGTCAGGGAGGTGCTGCCCCATGATGTCGGATGCCAATGTGACATCTAGAACCCAATAATAATGTGAAAAGACCTCAATAATTATATTGGTCTCTATGGCAATTGGTGTGAGGATAGAGATACTCCCTGCAATGAAGCTGCAATAATAGTTTGAGATCATTCATGAACCCTACCACTCTCAGTCCACAGACAGGGAAATGCAGCATTAACTCTGAATAGCTTTTTTCTTTGCCAAAATTAAACAACCCTAAATGCGCAGAAAATGCTATTTTGCATTTTTTTAAATGGGCATGTTACATGTAAAATGCAATTAATTTGGCCCTAAATATTAAGTAATTCTGACTTAATATTAACCATATAAAGGAAGTAAAAAAAAAAACACCCGAGATTTATTTAGTATTTATTCTGTTGACTTAAGTTTGTTTTTGAAAAAAAAATTATGCTTTTTTATTGTTTGGGAAAAAATGCAATGCTAAGACGGAATGCTTTAGCAGCAAGAATTGCAAAAAAGAAAAATCTAAAGATGAATGTAAGACCGCATGACTGCCTTGAAGGAACAGGTGAGATTTATGTCTGCATTTGTGCTTTATAGATAATATGGAAGATTGTCTATTGTTGGAATGGAGAGTAGAAGCTGGAATTCAGCTATGCATTTCCACCATGGGCAGCCTCATTTCCTCCATGTCTTGTTCTGATCGTGTCAATTTATCCGTCTTTTTAATTTGGTATTGATTGTCTGTAGAGACAAATAATGGTTCTGGACATGCATGATTTTGCATGTGTGCAGTCACTTCATCTTCATAAAGTGGTATCCACTTGAGCAATAACTACACAAAATGATTATCAAATTTGATTGGAGAGCCTTATAAATAGTATTTGGTCTTGCTGTGGCTGCTCTTTCACAGTGTCTGGAGGCTGGAGGCTCTGGATGGGGGACAGCAGGCTTCAACTGAACCCTGGTAAGGCAGAGGGGTTGTGGGTGTGTGGAGCATCAGGATCATCTTGTCTCTGCCATCTGCTGCTGTGTCTCGTACCCCTCTGGTCACTGGCTTGCCCATTTGTGCTCTCTTTCTCTCTCTCTCTGTCTCTCTCACTCTCTCCTCACACTGTTTCTCTGCTTCCTTCACTCTTTCTCACTCTCCATCTCACTTCCTTCTCCTCTTTCTTCCTTTGTTCTCCCCCCCCCCTTGTTTCCCTCCAAACCTCCACCATTTATTCTCTTCTGTCCTGTGCTGCCTATTCCCCCCCCCCCAATTTACAGGCAATTCCCTTTTCCTAGTGATCATCCCAGGATTTCCCAGGTAATTAGAATCCTCCCTGCTCTCAGTCACTGTCCTGATGTCTCAAGGTCTCTCACTCTGCCCCTCACCCTGGGGGTCAGCTTGCTCTGATTGATCGCCTAGGGACCTCCACTTGCCCAGCTCAGTTTGCCTCTGCTGTCCTTTGGTGCATCTGGTGCCCCTTCTTGTCACTGGTTCACCCACTCACCTGGATTAGCTTGTCTCTGCCATCTGCTGGTGCATTTGGCACCCCCTCTGGTCACTGGCTTGCCCACTCTGGACCAGCTCTTCTCCGTTGTCTCCTTGTGCGTCTGGAGCTTCCTCTGGTCAGTGGTTCCTCTCCCTCACATGGATCAGCTTGTCTTTGCCGTCTGCTGGTGTGTCTGGCATCCCCTCTGCTCATTGGCTTGTTTGCTACCCTGGATCAGCTAGCCTCTGTAATCCATTGTCAGGTTTGGCGCTCCCTCTGATCACTGACTTGTCCACTTACCTGGATCAGCTTGTCTCTATGGTCTGCTGGTCATTGTTGAGAATGGATCAGCTTTTTGCTGTCCTCTGTCAGGTCTGGAGCCTCTTCTGGTCATGGTCACCTGCTGGCTTCATTCCTCTCCCTCCCTCTCCTTCTCCCTCTCCCTCTCCCTCCCTCTCCCTCTCCTCTCGTCTCCTCTCCTCTCTTCTCCTCCTTACTTTGCCTCCTTCTATGCTGGTCTCCGCTGTCTCCTTTTTCCTCACATTGTTTCTCTGCTTCCTTCACTCTGTCTCTTTCTCCATCCTCCTTCTCCTTCTCTCTCCTCCTTTGTTCTCCTCCCCCCATTTCCTCCCCCCCCCCAGGATGTCCCACCCTGCCACTGGCGAGTTGCCTCCCTTCAGGCATCCACATCTGGTCACCAGCCAAACACCGCTGCCCTGGGACACCTGCAGCCCCCTGCCTTCCAGCTGATCAACTGTGCACCACTGCCAGCACCAATCATAGCTCTGCCCCGGGACACCCACAGCCGCCCTGCTGATCAGCTGTGCACTGCTGCTACTGCTGATCTTGATGCTAGCCAGCTGTTGCTCAGCCGATCAGATACAGTGAATGCTGCTCTGGCATAACACCGATGAACGCCACCACTCCAGCCCACCCCCGCTGCACTCTCGCTTCACACTTCTATTAGTTCTTACTGTAATCGAATCAATGCAGATCGATAAAAGCAATCTTCACTTCTAGTTTCTTTGTTAGTTTAAGTATATAAATGAAAGGAATCGTAATATACATCGCAGCATGCTATCCCTAAGCCTTTCACCCTTTCACCTACCCATGGTACAAACATACCTGGCAATCACTTATTCTTCCATATGTCCCACGATGTGGCCTTTGTCTTGTTTCCAGCCCATGGATGAGCAGACTTGTAAGTTGTCCTTTGCGGTACCGGGATTAATGTAGTGAATGAATTTGATGGCAGTGGCAAAGCCATTATGCTTTGCCACCTATTAACTCAGAAGTATTGTGACTACTGAGGGTGCTTGGAAGTATTGTGACAACAGAGCAGCTGTTTTGTTCTGATATGAATACCCCCCCTTCCCCTCTGCTTTATCTCTGCTACCATCTTCCTTTTGCGGCCTCCCTAAAGAGCTGGAGGTAGCAGGCTGCAGAATTGTGCAGTTGAGCTAGCCTGCTTTGCTGGCAGTACTGAAATTGTTTTAATTCTATGGGTTACCGGTTTAACTCAAGGTTGAAATAGCTTAACTCAAGGTTGAAACAGCCATATGATACAAGATAGCCTAACTCTGAAAAGACAAGACAAACCTCTGCTGAGATAGACAACATTTCTATGACGGCATCTGCCTCCTGAGTCTTGTGTCAGTATCTGTTAGAATACTGTTAGAAAGTTAGAAAGTAAAAAAAAAAAAAAGTCTGCATGGTGAAATGAACAGAGTTGTAGAATATTTTGCATGAAAACGGAGTGGAAGTTTGTTTGCTGAACACAGTAAAATCTGTATAGGATGGAGGTGGGAATAGATGAGATTCTTACCAAGTGGGTTAACGTGGTGTAGAGAATTGGCAAGAAAGTGTGATGCCCCTTGGGTGGTTAATGCAGTTATGGGTAAGAAATGTTCATGCGAATGGTAAAGGTGTTTTAGTTGGGGACATGAATGGAGCCTTTTACATGCAGATGAAATCAAGTTATTGAGAACCCAGATGATTTTCCAACAAATGTTAGATAGATTGCAGCGAATGATGCAAATAAGACTATAGATTTCAAATTAATTACAAAGACCAAGGTAGTTGTATTCTTCTTCTTAATTTCCTCTCTTACCACTTCAGGTGTTGAGGGAGATACAAAGTTCTTGTTCTTGCTATTTCTGGTGGTCTCAACCATTATTATTTGATGCTGTCATAGTGGGTCTTCTTCTGGGTCTGCCTCATGTTCTTTGCTCTTCTCTTTTTGTGTATATCTGGTGTGATATAGAATCCCAAGATAACACAAGGTGGTTGTGTTTGACAGCTGAGAGTAAATTACTGCAGGTTACACATACATGAAAAGCAATTAACGCTACTCCATTTTTGCATCATGTTAAAATGTTTAGATTGGAAATAGATGGCTATATTTTTAAACATGCAAATGGTGACAGAAGGGCAATGGGTGAGTTGAAAGAATTAACGATTGCTGAAAGAAGTAAAAATGGCTCTATGTAATGCTTCTGCCTACCTTATTACATGGAAGTGAATGCTAGGTATGTCAGGAGAAGTATAAAAGATACAAGAATGTGTTACTTAACTATGAATGGTAAAACAAGAACAAGTGGAGGCTAAAAGTATTATAGTGAATGGTTTGGGTTAAACTAGATTGTTACGCATATCTCTTTTTTTCTTACCTCCCACCTTAAATTTCTTTTGCTTTCTACTACTTACTCATGTTCTGAAATTTTCATAGCATAGCTTATTCCAAAAGGCAATGAAATGGTGGATTTGTAGCGTAGGCTACCAATTAATCAAGTCTAAATTTTCAAATCAATAAAAAAAATCAGTGAATTGACTAACTCTTGCAAGCCTATAATAATTTCTTTTTCCAAGAAAGTGTAATTGGCATGGTCTCCTTGCCCCACCTTTGTAACAGATGCCTACTTAGCATCTGTGAAGAATATGTCCTCACCGCTGCCATCCTATTGCTAGCCCGCTACCGATTCAAGCTAAAGCTGAATCAGTGGGATCCACCAGGAAAGTGCAATTTTCTTTTAGAAAAAGGGATAGAATTTCCTGTGTGAACTTCTTTTGTGTGCCAAGAAGGGCAGCAAGGCCCTTCTTGGCTTAGTTTAAGAGCTTAGGTAAAAAGACTATTGTGGAAGCAGCCGCTTTTGGTGTCACATACTTTCTTCCACTTGAGGGAAGAAAACACACCAACAATCCACGAGTGAGCTAACAGAAGAAGCCACCGTCTTCTACATCCTTGCATCATTTTATTCTAAGTATTAACAATTCATAGAAAAATTGTCAAATGTTGCATTGTTTTGGAAAGTAACTGACTTTTGAAGTTAATTTGCTCTGTGTTCATTGATCTTTCCAGTTCTTCCTATTACCTTTTTTATGAGCTAAACCAGGGGTCTTCAAACTTGGCCCTTTTATGACTTGTGGACTTCAACTCCCAAAATTCCTCAGTCAGGCACGCTGGCTGAGGAATTCTGGGAGTTGAAGTCCACAAGTCATAAAAGGGCCAAGCTTGAAGACCCCTGAGCTAAACTCATATCATGGTTGCACATGATGTCATATTCACTCAGCCTCACTAAATGAAGGGTAGGTTGATATACATTTTAAGCTCAGGAAAGCTATCCTGTGAGGATTGACAACTCTAATGTAAACTGCAGTGTGCAATGGAATATAAAAAAATCTAGTGAGTGAACCTCATGATCACGTTTAAGGGAACGTCCTCCTGCATCTGAGGTAGGGTCAGTTTAATTCCAGCATTCCAGTTCCCTCAGTGGCAAGCCAGCTGCTGAAGGGAAACCTAAAAATAGGGTACTACCGTAGTAATCTCCCCACAGTGAGACTCTCCACATATTGTTATTCTGTATGATATCCTCTTTCTGAAGAAGGAGATTCCATCAGTAGACCTGATTAATGAATACATCTCATTTTTATTTTAGAGCCAAGCCCTTAGCCAGCATCAGATTCTGAGGCAGAAATTCTGTAAATTGAAAGATTTTTAAGTTGTCTGTATTGGCAATTATTATCATTGGGGAAATTTGTTCTGTTATTGGGGAAAAGAATCTTTATCTCCTCCAACCATATTAGTTCTTTCCTGAGTTATCTTTTTCTAAGATAATGGCTTAATTGCTACAGTCTCGTCCCACGTGAAATATGTTTTCAACATTTAAGTTACTTGGCTGTCTTACTGTAGTTTTCTTTTAAAGAGAACTGTTATTAACTACATCATATCAATTGGATGTGAAAAAATATTAATCTAAATCTAATTATGAAGTACATGGTTGTTATTAGAGAGGACAGGATAATTCTCATGCTTCCACCCCTTAGAACGTAGAACAAATATGGAAGAATATACTATTTATTGATATCAGTAATATCTGACTGTATGTATTTCATTGGATCAACAATCCAATGTGAGCCATTCATTTTATGGTACAGGCACTCGAAATCATTTGCCTTACATACTGTATATTTAAATATTTAACAAAGAGGGCAATTTAATGACAAACGATTAAAATATGGACCAATCACAATGTGACTTTGTTTGTGTTAACATTTGTAAAAGGTTGGTATAGAATTCCAAACGCCTCTCTTATCCTTTTCATGGGTGTTTGAATTTTGTTTAGGTGAAAAAATGAAAAATTCCAGGATTGATGAAAAGACTGTCAACAATGAAGTCAGTACTGAACCACAAAAGGACAGCATGGACCAAAAAAAGGGTGATGAAAAGCCACCAGATAGTTCAGATGATGAAAACAACACTGGCCAAACAAACAATGAAGCTCAAAAGAGAATTGCACCACTGCAATTGATGGGAGAGGTACAAGAATATACTAAATTTAACTAGCAGTGAAGCAAAATTAGGTTTTCACAGAAAAGAAGGAAACATATTTCTCAGTATGGTTACTATTTCATAAAATAGGGTTTACTTCCCCACGTATAAGTGAAAATCCCATTGTTATAAAGAATGTAAAAAATTGTAAGAATCTACTTTATATATAAAAAAACATGGCAGGCATGAATACATTTATGAGATAGTATATGGGAGAAATAGTTTTGTTTTGCATGAGAAACAACAGTATTTTTCATCTCAACAATATTAGTGTGATCTGTCTACAATAAAAATGTAACATATCCACTCTAATGCAGATATGGGGTGTGATAACCTTCTGATGCTTTCTTCTACCTTAAAGGCTAGGAAGGCAGCATCACTTTGCTTCCAGCTCTTTCAGAGAATACGAGGTCTACAACATATATGGACATTGTAATTTAAATACCTCTGACTCCAGAAGATGCATGCAATAGCACAGGGCTTTTCAACCAGTGGTACGGGTACCACCTGTGGTACATTGGCATCTGGCAGGTGGTACGTGACCATCCTAGAAAAGTAGCGGGGGAGGGGAATGAGCTGAACCGGTGGCAGCACCGCACAAGCCTGAGCGAGAGACGGCTGGAGCTGCAGGGCTGTCAGGGCTCAGTGGAAGCGCCAGGATCAGCGCCGAGCTGCTGAGCCCAGAAGAAGCGCCGATCAGCTGGAATGTTGCAGCATCTCCAGGGTCTTGTGATTTACATTCAGATGCTTGGCAACTGATCCATATTTATGACGGTCACTGTGTCCCAGGGTCATGTGAAGTGACCAAAACCTGCTGCAACCACCCAGCAGACGGGGGGAATAAAAACCAAACACCCCACCCCCGCTGCCAATCCTCAACAGAAATGCTCACAACAATGAAAACCTCGGACAGGAGGAAGAGCGCCGCCGGGTGGGCAGACAGGTGTCTTGCTCGGCTGTGGCTTGGGAGGCACTTTTTTCAGTGCCGTTGTAACTTTGAACAGTCACTAAGCGAACTGTTGTAAGTCAAGGACTACCTGTACTTTATCACTTATTTCCTTTTTTTTTGGTCATCATGTTTTTGACACCTTGCTAGGCGACTGGTGGTACTCGGATATTGCCATATCCTAAAAGTGGTACAATGGGTTAAAAGGTTGAAAAGCCCTGCAATAGCACAGTATCTTCAATCTTTTCTGTATCATATTAGTTTTGTAATTATGTCATTTTCTTCACCTAAAGTTCTTTAAAATGATATTTACATTAAGAATGAAGAGCATAAGATAATGCACAGGCAGGCTATATATTACCATTGTTGATTAGTAACAACCATAGTGTAGTCCAGGGGTAGGCAACCTTGGCTCTTTTATGACTCGTGGACTTCAGCTACCCCTGGTGTAGTCTATGGATGCAGTATTTTATTTGTGATTTTATTTAAGATATGCTCACGGCTTCCACTGCTTCAATCCCAGGAACAGCAATAAATCAAATTTAAAACAAACCTGAAATCAGTTAAAAGTAATAAATCTTGCTACACTCTCAAATAATCTTAGATTTTTTATTTAAAAAATGTATATTTTAAAATCTCTTTCCTAGTTTCTGAAAGCAATAATGGAACGGAAATATAATCTTGCAAAGAAGCTTTGTCAGATGAGTAAGTACACCATTGTGTCAGTATTGCATTATTGTTTATATTGTTCATTATTTTGTCCATTTTTTTACTCCTATGTTTACCACCCGGAGTGGCAATTGTGAGATTAAGTACCATATTAAAAAAAAAAATCCTTTTCACCCCTTTGGGTGGCATAAGTCTTCCTCAATCTCGGGTCCTCAATCAGTGGCCTGGGGGTTTGAGAGTTCAGCGCAGTATCTTAGCTGTTCCCAGCACTGAACTGCTTTGGACAGAGAGCTCTGATATCATTCATAAGATCTGTTGGAGCTACTCTCCCATCTTAGGAATCACAGCCCCAAATGCTCCTACCACCATTGGGACACTTTGGCCTTTAATTTCCACATTCTCTCTCATTTCTCCTTCAGGCCCTGGTACTTCTCCAGCTTCTCATATTTCTGCCTGATGTTACTATCACTTGGCATTGTTACATCTAATCACCACCACTATCTTCTGGTCCTTGTCTACTACCACAGTGCCTTGTTGATTGGCCGATACCCACCTGTCTGTCTGTATCTATAAATCCCACAGGCTCTCAGCCATGACCTTTGGTAGAATCCCCCATCTGGAAATGGGAGGATCTAGCCCAGGGGTAGGCAACCTTGGCTCTTTTATGACTCGTGGACGTCAACTCCCAGAATTCCTGAGCCAGCATGGCTGGCTCAGGAATTCTGGGAGTTGACGTCCACGAGTCATAAAAGAGCCAAGATTGCCTACCCCTGATCTAGCTGATACACAATGCCAGCCACTTGGTTGTGCTATTCAATGTATGCTGTTCCTGCCTGCATGTTACATTCTGCCACTATGGTATGGACTGTTTAATATTAATTTTGTTATTTTATTTCTCTTCCCACTTTAAATTGGAGATCGTATTCAAAACTCAACATTTTGAAAAGATAAGCTACATTTTGATTTGCCTATTGCTTAAGGAAGCGTAATTTAAGTCCCCATCAAATTTTAGATATGTTGCCCAGAGAGAACTTGAATAATTAAATATATATACATATAATTTTGAGAGAGTAGAGTTGTAATGCAGTGTTATGCATGATATTTCCATTTACATTGTGGGGTTAATCTCAATTTATGAACATTCCAGTATATTGCTTAACAGCCCCTTCCATTCACTGTATTCTATCTAGCCAATGCTTTGGAAGAAGAAATAAACAGCTATTTGTTTTTAGCAGGTAATCACCTAAACAGAGTGCATAGAAAATATTTTTGCACTCATGAAATAGAAGTTGATGGTTTGGATTTGGGGTGGGAAGAAGAATTTGTATTTTCTTGCATCCCAGAAATATTAATTCCTTCTCTCTTGTCAAATTCCAGTTCTGATATATGAACCCAGCAATCCTGAGGCTAAGCAGTTTCTTCCACTTATTGAGAAGAAACTGCTTCTAGGTGAGTATGGTCATTAGAAATATTACAAACTATTTAACAAACTTTTATGAAGGTACTATTCCGATTGCTGATGGAATAGTGCCCACCAGAGGAACAGATCCCTTGTCTCCCCTCCAGCCTCCTAAACATTTTCCAAATCTGCTTTAGAGAGTTTGGAAATTTATGAAGCAGATGTGGAATTATAATTTTTAGATCAAAACAATATAAATCTTTCCGGCATGCAATTCAAGCTGCTGGTTGTTCACCTCTCCAATTTGTCTATTACGTTTTACGACACCCGTTTCTAATTTTTGAAAGGAGACGTGCAGAAAGTTTCATTTCCATTGGATTTTCTCCTAAGACATAGTCATCTTCTGGGAAGCAGGAAGAAGATTCAAATGGATTATGAGGGCAGCAAATACCAGGCCACGGACACAATGAACGTTGAGAAGAATGGCTGCTTTTAAGCTTGTGTCTTTTACATTTCTATGTTAGAAAGTCAGTGTCCTGACAAAGAAGATGAGGAAAGTGACGAAGAGAGCAGTGATGAGAATGAAGAAGAGACCAACAGCTCAGAAGACAGTGAGACTGAAAGTGAAACAAGTTCTGAAGATTCTCATCAAGATTCCTAGAAATTTGAAAGCACCCTAAATAAATGTTTCTTTTTCTTTTTTTCCTGCAAAATACATTAAAATCAATAGTCCATTAATTCAGCTATTTATTGTGAGATGCACATGTGTGGCTTGTGCATAGCTTCTTACGTGGTGTACAATTTGTGGGATAAATGTGGTTGTTTCTAGTAACCTAATATTTAGGGTTGATTGCCTCAGTTACTGCTGTGTCAGTCTTCACTCACAGCATTAAAGGCAGGTCTTATATGTATCCTCTGATTGTTTTGAAAGTATAACGCAAGAGGTTTCAAGAGGGTTACAGGCTGATTACAGAAATTACTATTGTGATTTTTGAATCTCCCAAAGATTTCTACTAAGAGAAAGCAGAAGAAGAGAATGTATCATACGTCTCTTTCCAGACCCTGCCTGATATTGTACCAGAAACCAAATTTGCCAAACTGGTTCCTCCAGATGAATGGGACTACAATCTCCTTAATCCCCAGCTGGTCTGATCTGTAGTTAGATTAGCTGTGAATGATATAAGCTAAAATCCAACATAGTACATTAAAGAAGGCTGAGAGATTATGAGAATATTTTTCCCATTTTTCAATGGGTATCCTCTCGGCAATGCTGTATAGTATTATCTACTTTTCAATTACTGATGTTTCATGATAGTTTTGCTATAAGAATTTCTCCCCCCCCCCCCACTGATACAGTTTCTGAAGTTAGTTTGAGAATTCTAAAGTATGGCTGTGCTTAATCTGTTTTTCAGCTCCAATTATGTTTTAGTTCCAGTTACAATTAGATGTTTTATCTCTTGCTTAGTAGAAAATCTAGAAAAAAACCCCTCAGGGTTAGAATGCTGAATGAACCCTGACTTTCTGGAATGTTTCTACGTGTGGAAAGGCAAAGGAAGAAATCTCAAGCCAACAATTGACCCAGAGAGATAAGAGTATTTCTAACCTTGTAGAAAATTCATACTTGTTCATGCCACTCAACCTCACGGGCTCTGATGAGTTTACAGTATATCTTCCAACAAATTAATAAAATCCTTTAAAAGTGCAGAACTCCAAAATATGTATTTGAAAAGATTTGATCCCCTTACTGAACTCTAATAGAGAAGAGTCTTGAATCAATTCCAGAAACAAGTTGTTTTATAATAATTGCCCTTCCATAGAAAGGGAATTACGTTAATGTATCATTGCAGGATTTTTTTTTTTTAAAGAATGTCCTGCTAATAATTTAAGTAGCCTCAGAAAGGTAGGAGGATGCATTCTGCAGATAACTTAAGCCTAAATTGGGTATGTCTAGTTTAACGAAGAGAAGGACGAGGGGGGACATGATAGCAGTGTTCCAATATCTCAGGGGCTGCCACAAAGAAGAGGGAGTCAAGCTATTCTCCAAAGCACCTGAAGGCAGGACAAGAAACAACAGATGGAAACTAATCAAGGAGAGAAGCAACCTAGAACTAAGGAGAAACTTCCTGACAGTTAGAACAATTAACCAGTGGAACAACCTGCCTCCAGAAGCGGTGAATGCGCCAACACTGGAAGTGTTTAAGAAGAGACTGGACAGCCATTTGTCCGAAATGGTATAGGGTTTCCTGCCTGAGCAGGGGGTTGGACTAGATGACCTCCAAGGTCCCTTCCAACTTTATTATCATTATCATCAAATTAAGCACCTTTAACTGGGTTCAGGCTTTGTAGTGTATTCAATAAACCATAAGATTTTCAGAGGCGGAATGCACCTGGCTTTTTATTTGGATTCTCCAGCTGGATGTTGACATTCACGTAGGCATTATATAATATGAGGGCTACCTTGCATCCATGTGAGATTTCTCAAGGAGCAAAGTAATTGTCTCCTAGCACCACTCTCTGGGAAGAGTGCACGGGAGAATGAACTCAAAACTCAGGGCGATCAGACAATTCTCCATCCCCCTGGGATCCAGAACTCTGTTACAGCCTGGGAAAGAGGATTAAGGAAGTCCCACCCTCTGCTTAAGTACAGAGCATGTCACATAACATGGACAACAAATCAAGCATGTGGGTGGGTAAGAAGGAAGAAGGAAAGTCAAAAAGACAGCAGATAGGTGGGAGAAAAACTGCCACAACAAAGTTAAAAGATGGGGGGGAGGCAAGCTGTGAAGTTGCAAGACCTGCTGAGGAGCAAAGATTCGGTTGGGGGAGATGTCAGAAGCCCTGATCAGAATCTGCAAAAGAAGCAACCAAAACAAGCCCCCCTATATGTTACATCCCGGCCACACAGCTCCACAAACCAGCTCCAGAGGGAAAGAGGACCGTGAGGGGGGGGGGTAAAGGAAAGCCCTGTTTGCAAGTCTGTAGAGGTGAGAAGGATTTTCAAGTGCAGTGAACTCAGCTTAAGACCTTGCAGAAAACAAGATTGAAAATGCTAGGAAATAGTTAAGATAGGAAAGCAGTGTTACTAACAATGCTAGGAACATGAACATAGAACACAGGATATAAATCCAGATATTAAACAAAAGTAATTGTTAGCTTATAGTAATAGGAAGACTCTAGGATTTCATTTAGGAAGATCTTAAGTTTGAGAATGGAAAGCACAGAATTATAAGAATTGTGACTTCTAATTTTGTAAAATAAAAGACCTTTTGGGGGGGACAGCAAAATCTTTGTCTCTTGCCTGTATCAGACAAAACAACCCTATCAGAGTGAACCACTACAAAACAATGCTTTAAGCACTCCCACCTGGCTACCATAGACCTTGATATCAAGAGCCATAGGAGATATAGGAATACCAATAGGATGATGCCTCTTGTATCTCTGTGTCCGTTTACTACCCATACCAACCAAGGGCTCCTCTACCAAAGCAACAACCCAACTTCCCACAAGAGAAGCTGCTAAGAACTTTACTTAGATGAGCACAAACTCACCGCAGCAACCTTGAACAGTGAAAAAGAAAACAGAGCATCTATACAACATAGCACTTAGCACTTACGTAGGCTTATATACTGCTTCATAGTGCTCTATAGCACTCTCTAAACAGTTTATAGAGTCAGCATATTGCCCTCAACAATCTTGGTCTTCATTTTACTAACCTTGACCTTGGAAGGATGGAAGACTGAGTCAACCTTGACTAAGGTCAGAATTGAACTCCCGGCAGTGGGCAGAGTCAGACTGCAATACTGCATTCTAATCACTGTGCCACCATAGCTCTGTAACATATTCCAACAAAATGGATATTCACACAACTTTATCAAAAATGGCCTGATCACTCAATCTAACAGAGCACAGCCAACACAAGCCCTAAAAAGAATAACACTGCCATATATTAAGCACATCTCAGAAACCACCAACAGACTACTACAACCGCATGGAATCTGTGTAGTATACAAGCCAACTAAAGCCCACCAGGGCATCCTAAGTAAACCAAAAGACCCAGCAGCCCCAGAAGAAAAACAGGAGTTATCTACAACATACAGTGTAATGACTGCAACAACCACTATGTATGACAGGCAGAAGACTGGCAAAATGCATTCATGAACACCAACTAGCAGTCAGAAGACATGATGAAAACTCTTTAATTTCACATCATATGGACAGATTCAACCATAGTTTCAATTGGGAAATTGCGACCATCCTAGACCAAGCCAAGCCCAAAAACGCTAGGGAATTTCCAGAAGCCTGGCACTCTGACAAATTAGCCATCAATAGACTTATAGAGACATAAACAATATCTATTTACTATGCAAAAGAGAGAACAAGGCAAAAAAGGGAACAAAAAGACCAAAACACCTCCCCAGTCCCCACCAGCAATCAATACCCAGATGAGCATATATTAACTCCAAGATTAACATCAGACCAACAATCAAGTAAACAAGACCCCGATCAGGAAACTGCCAAAGAAGCCAACATAAACAGCCCAACCAAAGATCTTCCCCACCAACACTGACAGGGCAAGCTATTAGAATATAAACTGAGAACAAATCCCACTCTTTACTAGCACTGATGATGTTACCTAGTTTGGGTAATGAAACATCTGCAAGAAAAGAACCAAGCTCAGAGAGCACCAAGGACCCCTCGTCTCCCATCTCTCTTCCAGTACTGATCATCTACCAACGTGATCATGTTTGAGCCCCTATGAAATCTGGATTTAAACCCATATTGGCAAAGATCTTAGCTAATGTATATGTATATGTAGGGATGTATATGTAGGGATGTGGGTCTATACATATGTTGTTCATAGTATGTTTAGGTGTGTGTCATGTATGTGTTTCACTTTGAGAGCGGGCAACTAAATTTCATTTTTGATGTGTGCCATTGTGCCCACAGTATAAAAATGACAATAAAGGTTATCTTATCTAATATTTCTGCAGTTTCACTGTGTTTCCAATCTGGGATTTGTTGAACACTTTTACTAATCCCTACATGTAAATCAAAATACACTTGGTAAAACAGATAAAATTGATATAGTAAAAATGAAAAGCTATAACCTTTGATGATAAATACAGTAGAGCCACCTAGAAAAAATGACAGACTTTTAATTTATCCAAGAGGGAGAAAGAAGTAGTCTAACTGGTATAAGCAGTAAAGCTGGATGAAGAAGTACCATCACAGAAATAAGAAAAAAATGCACAGTTGATTAAGAGAAAATAAAAAAAGACTGGATAAGTGGAGGAGCAATCAAAGCAGTTGATTCGCCTTAGAAAAAGGTAAGCAAAAGCCTGAGGAAATTAGATTGGGAAAAGCGAAGGTAGAGATACACGGCATCAAAACAAAATAAGACAAGGAAAGGATTTTTTTTTTCAAGAAGGAAACAGAAGAAGAAAAAAGTAGTATACATTTTATGGAGAGGTGTGCTTAGGTTTTGCACCACAGATATTCAGAAATCCAGGTGCCTTAATACATACAGTGCTGTGAGAAATCTAAATTAGTGGTTGACAAGAAAGAACAAGGGAACAGTGAATCAGCTAAAGTTGAATTAAACAAATGAAACAGTCTAAATGCAATATACCCAGAAGGAACAAAAGGAAAAAGGGGCTTCTTTAAATCAGCGTTGAAATAATATTCCTTCATAATGAGAAAATGTAATATAAGGTGCTTAAGGGTTATACAGTAAGACTACTTAGGT